ACCTTTAAAGGTCTAGTCCAACCCCTGCCAAGGGCAAGGACACCTTCAGCTCCATCAGGTTGCTCGTGGAGGTGCACTGGCTGGAAAAATCCCTTAATGCCAATGGAGAAGTAAATGCAGGGTTGTGTTAGTGTAGATGTGAGATCCACTGCAGAGGGAATGTGAGGGAGTGATGTGAGAAGGGACTTCTGGTGGGTTTGGGGAGGAGCAGATGCCTGTGATGACCCCGGCTGTGGGGGACAGGTCTGTGGGTGCTGGGACCACGTGAGCCAGGCTCTGAGCCCGGCTGCTCCTGCCTCACTGCTCCAGCAACAGCCTCCAAGGAGAGTCCTTTCCTCTCTGCAGGATACCCAGCAGTGCGTTGGACAAGAAATACTTTGGCTACAGACAAAATCAATACAGGACGTGGTGAAGTTAAAGATCACAGCTGAGATGGTGATTCCCGAGGCAGAAAATTCATGCTCGGGATCCTCACTTGGAGTCAGCTTGGCAAGGCAGGAGGAGTGATCACAGACGTGGGGAAGATGAAGTGAGCTCGTGGTTGCTTGGCTGAATAGATCATCAGTAATTACCCTTACATGTAAACAAATCAATGTCCAAACCAGTAACGTTCTTCTCTGTTGCTTTGCAGCAGCGGGTTTGATGGGGCTGAGGATTCAGCTGAGCCTTCAGGGACTGTGGACACAGCTCTGTGTGCCCAGGAAGGCACGAGGAGACGCTTTTTAAAAAATTAACTCGCGGAGGAAAAAAGGGGCAGCTGATAGAAATGGCCGTAAATTATAAATGAGGCTTTGCAAAAATGACAAAGGGAGAAAAGGGGCATTGACAGGCAGCAGTGTCTGGAATAACAGCCGGAGTTTGGCTCTGCACTGAACCACGGGGAGCTTGACAGGGTTTGCTGGTCGCGTGGGCAGGAGAGGCAGAAAAGGGAAGGCGTTTGCTGAAAATACTCCTGCCCTCTATTTAAAAAACGCAGAGGATGTTGTTATATCACAGAGGGAGGAATAGATTGGTCCTGTTCCAGTAGAAATCGGGGAGTTTGTCAGGCAGCGATTATGAAATCCAGAATGTTGTTGTTGTTGTTGGAGTCGGCAGGTCCAGGAATGAATTCCCAAGCAAGTGTTTGGAGTGCACTGGGCACACGCTCTGCACCAGCACTGCTGACCCTCCCTGGGCCCGGGGAAGGTGGAGGAAGTTTCCAGGAGGAAACCAGTGCAGAGCCAGGCACGGCAGCTCTGGGGGACCCGCGCTGGGAGCTGGAGCCCTCCAGCCTGGCACAGCTCCTGGGCACAGCAGGCTCGGGAGAGGGGCTGGAGGGTGATGTAATGGGGTTTCTGCATAAACTGGGCCAGCCAAAATAACTTTCCCTCTTTTGATGAGATTACAAGCGGGGCCAATACAGATAATAAAGTTGGTGTGACCACATGACTGCACGTTGCATGGCAATTTAATTAAGAAACTGCCACAACACTGTAGACTAAAAGGATTAAAACCCACCCGATGGGTTTCTGAAAAAGAATTTTTTTACAAACTAAGAGGAGCTGCAGCCATTTGGGCTGTCAGGGTGGTTCTCTCCTTTATCTCCAATCGTGTCTCGGGTGATGCTCGGTGTGGCCACGTGTCCCCAGGGCTGGGACCCCTGGCCTTTGGCTGGACAGGAGGGCACAGAGCAGGAGGAGCAGGAGGGGAAGGGCAGACTGACCAAAAGCAGGGAGCTGCCAGCACAGGAGGGAGCGAGGATTGATGAAGGGATCTGTGGGGAGCAGGGAAATGAGCTCAGCTGCCAGCGCAGCGGGAGGGAAGCTGCAGAGATGGTTGGTTTGAACCTGGCCAGGGGGGAATGGGAAGAAGGCCCTCCCAAAATGGTGAAGTGGTGAAGTGTTTCAGACTGTCAGCTCAGCTTGGATCAGCAGTGCAGGGCGGGAGCAGAGCCGGGGCTGCAGTGGGTGCTGAGCTCGTGTGGGGTGCTGAGCTCGTGTGCTCTGCTCGCCCAGAGCCCTGGGCAGACACGGGGCAGGGGGGTCTGTGTGTGTCTGTGACCCCTCGGGCTGCTGCCTCAGCTGGTGACTTCTGGCCGTGTGAGGGGAGAGGGTCAGTGCTCCCCAGAGCCTTTGGTAGATGCACAGAGAAGGGATGAGCAGCCCCTCCATCATCGGGGCGGGCAGGGCTGTGCATCCCAAACCAGCCCTGCCTGCAGCTCCCGGGGCCCTGCCAGCTGCCCCTGCTCCCACAGAGACCTCACTGCCTGCTCCTGCCTCTTGCTCCGGGCAGAGTGTGCTCCAAAACCTGATTTATGCGAGACCAAATTGCATTTCATAGCACAGTTTAGCTCTGCTTTGCCCTTTTATGTTTCAGAGTCGAATTGCCAGAACTCTGCTGTCTCTGCCACAATCTTCCTGTGTTAGAGTAGATTTGATAGAGATAGAAATGATCCGTTTATTTACTTTTATTGATGAGCCTTACAGTGGCACATGGGCTTGCAATGCAGAACTCTGCAGCAGCTGTGTGAAAACAGGCTCTCTCTGAGCTCCCTGCGTGGCCAGGGCTGGTTTTCAAGCCTACAGCATTAAGCCAGACTTCGTGCCTTTGAAAGGTGCTGTTCCCACTAGGGACAGAGAAATGAAGTGAAAATGCCTTTGCTGTAACACTCTGTACAGCTACAAAAGAAATATTCACAGGCACAGAAACACCCTTATTGCACCCCAGACGAGGCTGTGGTGGCTGCTGGAGGTGCAGGGTGCTGGTTCCAGACTGTGGATTGACACATGTGGAGAGGTTTTGTCTTTCCTAAGGCGTGTGCGTGTGCTGAGATGGATCAGAATGGAAGCTGGAGGTGCCCAGATCCCAGTTTATCCTGCTTTCCTGGCTGCTGCTCGTGGCTCTTCCTTTGGCCCTGCTGTGTGTCTGGCACTTGCCCTCCTGGTGCCTCGGAGCTGCAGGTTTGCTCTGCGGAGGGAGGGGATAACCCACGGGGCTGTTTTGGAGCAGCACACCAGGAATAATCACTGTGCCCCTGCCGTGCTCCTGCCGGGGTGCTGGGATGATAAATACACATGTAAATGTAGGAAATACCAGAGATAAAATGGATGACAAATGGGCTGTGCTTCCCCCGCCCCGCAGAGGGATGAGACGCTCACCACGGACCTGCAGAGGCCAGGGAGGATTCTGAGCTCTGCTTTTGTAACCGTGGGATAACGAGGCTGCATAAGGAGCTGTGTGGTTTTAGATTTTGCCAAACATAAGTCATTTCCTCACCTTGGCTTTTGTAAATCCAAACAAACCCGTGAGTGAAGGTGAGAGGTGTTTCACGGGAGGCTGGAGCTTCGCTGCCTTTCAGCGCCGACATTTGGGCATCCTTTGTGGCCCAGCTGAGCTCCACGGAGCAGAACCACGACAATGATCCCTCTTAGCATCTTGCCTTTGCGGTTTCCACACGCCCAGCATCCCCCCCCCAAACATTTTACCCTCCAAACCCAGCAGGCTGTGGCTGTGTGTGCGTGTGGGCATCGTGACGTGCGGGATGAACTCACCCGAGGGAAGAGCCTCGTGACTCGTGTGGGGAGGATGACTCGAGGGAGGCTGGCTGCTCTGCGGGGTGTCAGTGCTCAGGGAAGGGATTCAGCTGAAAAGCTCTGGCCACATCTCCTTTATGGGGTGTTGGACTGTCCCTGTGTGTGGCTCTCCGGGCAGGAAGCGGGACCGCGGCCAAGCGCCGGCAGCGCCGCTGCCCCTCCGTCCCCTGCATCTCAAACATCTATTTTGTCATTTCCTGATCACACAGCCCTTGCTGTCTGGGCTGCTCATCTGAGAGCTGGAGCTTTGGGGTTTCCTGCACTTAGCTCTGACCGTGGCAGGTCACACTTGCTAAATGCAGCAGGAGGACAAGTCGAGGACAGATACTTGACGTTATTTGTCTTGACTGGTTTGCTCCGTGGATAAAAATTATTGTATAGTCCCATTTCTGCATACAAATACAAATTATAGGTCCCTGCAAATTTAGCTCCAAGTTCATACCACAGGAAAAAGAATTTTCCAGAACATGCTAATGATAATTTAGTGTTTTAAAGCTGTGGCTCTGTGATCTGAAGTTATAGTATTGCAGTGCTGTTGTTCTGTAGGGCAATCAGAAAAAGGAGATTCAGAGGAGGTGTTTGCATGATAACAGCTGCCCACGTATCTGGACACTGGGTGCAGGTATTTGGTGGCTGCAGGTATTTGGTGGCTTTTCCTCCCTGTGTCTGCTGGAAGACAAGAGCTGACTGTAAGTCAGGGGTTTAAAGGTTTACGTCTGTGCTCCTGCTGTAGAAGCTTTAAAATCTTCCTTTGTGTTTTGCACGTCCCAAGGGTTTGCTTTGGCTGCTGCTGCTGCTCCTGGCACGAGCAGGGAATCTCCTGTCCCCTGTGACCCTCACCTGCCCAAAGGTGAGGATGAGCTCCAGCCCTGCCCAAAGGCAGCAGGAAACCTGCTCTTGTGTCCCTCACAGGAGGTTTTACATCCCTTTTGTATTTTATCATTCTGGAAGTGTAGGAGCCGTGGGTTTGGTTTGTGTGTGTGCCTCTGACCCCTCACGATGCCATCCTGTCTGCACCTGAAGCTCAGTAACCCCATATTTTGGGTAACAAACGCTGCCCTTCCCTCCCCACCTGATCCCCCCGTGTCTCCGAGGGGCTGCAGGCAGCAGGGCTTAGGGGGTGGCTGGGGTGGACCATTTCCTCTGCTAATGGCAGGAGTCCCAGCCATCCCACAGCTCGTTCCAGCTGGGTGCAGAGCTCTGGGAAACCTCTGTGGGGTTCAGAGCTCTGGGAAACCTCTGTGGGGTGCAGAGCTCTGTGAACCTCTGTGGGGTGCAGATGCCTTTCCCCCTTTCCTGCTCCGGTGTTGGGTACCTGTGTGAAGGGGATGTGAAACCTGACTGTGGGTTGCTTTGGTGAGCACAGCAAGAGTCTCCTGCTCCTTGCAACTTCAGTTCTCCTTTTTTCCTTTTGCTTTTGTCTTGCAGAGTCGGAAGCATGCCAGCAAAGTCCGCCTCTATTACATGCTGCACCCCGTGGACGGAGGCTGCCCGGCCAAAAAGCTCCGGTCAGAAAACGTGGGTACAATCCAAGGCCCTGTTTGTTCAGCTGCTTTGTGACTCATTGACTCTGGGCCAGACGATCAGGTGCCCAGAGGTAACATTTAGATGAGCTGAGACGCGAGGTAGCTGGAAATAATTGTCAATAAACGGCGCGAGAATTACGCGCATCAGCAGCGGCGATTGCGTTTTCAGTTATTGGATGTGCTTGGGTAGGACAAAACACGCTGGTAACAGATGCCCAGGGCTGGCTCCATTTCAGTCTGGGGGCTGGGTTTGCTGGGGAGCAGCTGGGGCAGGGCATGGGGGCGATGGAGGCTCCAGGAGTGGGGTGGAGGCCACTCTGGGGTGCTGCTGGCAGGGCCTGTGGGGTTGCTGTGCATGGAGCAGCACTGGGGTGAAGTTCCCAAACCAGTTCGGTGTGACTGGGGCTGAGCACTGTTGATATTTACTGAGATATCTTCTAATTAAAGGGAGAAGGGTGCAAATTCTGCCCAAGGAATCTGAAAGCTCCTTCGCACAGTAATTAAAACATCAGTGAACATTTCTGCTGCACAGATGCAGTCTGCCCCTGACAACAGGATCTCACTGCATTTTCATTGGGTTATTAATGCCAGTGTGAAGGGCTCGGTGGGCAGGCACATACAGGCTGGGAACATGATCCTCCAAGGGGTTTGATTGTGTCTAACAAGGAACCACATACTGCATGTGCATCTCAGCACAGGGATATGGAGGACAGAGAACCAGCCAGACCTCAAATAAGTCAAAGTTGAACTGTTTCCCATTTTTTTTCTGAAAGGCAACATGGAGAAGGAGTGTAATTCTGTGTTTGCTGATGCTTGTGCCAAGGGAAACCCTAGTGGGGGGTGGATTAGTGTGTCCTCGTGCTCTAGGTGAATGCTGGGCTAGGCCAGACCTAAATTCTAAAATTATTTGTGTTATGAAAATATAGCAGGGGAAATCTGCCAATGTTTACAGCTCAAAGTGGGCTTGTTGCTGATCAGATATTACCCAAGCCTTTGCATTTAGAGAGAACAGAACTGTTTAGGACACTTCGGGTGCTGCACAGTGACAGCCCTGCCAGGGACACGTGTGGCTGTGGTGCCTGATCCCAGCAGTGTCCCTGGGCCGTGGCACAGCAGCTCTGATGAGTGTTAGAAATAACCCACGAAAACCAATTAAATTCCTGTAGAAGTATCTGCAACTTAAAAAATGAATATTAGCCTTTTTTTTTCCCCATCAGAACTGTTCCATGGCTGTGTGCCACTGGGTTTGTGTCCTGCTGGCCACAGAAACAGCACCTTGTCCCTCTGGCAGCAGGAGGGAGAGGCAGCTGCAGTTGTGGGTGCTCAGTGCAATGGGATCTGAGGCAGCATTTGCTTCCTGACCTTTCTGTGAGGTGGAGGGTGGTGCTGGTTGTTGTTTGAGGGCTGCAGGAACACCCTGCATTCCCAGAGCACCCCTCAGCCCTTTGGAGTGAGGAGCAGGAGGCTCATACAATTAGTCCTGCACTGGATAAGGACTTGGTTGTTGTGCTCTTCATTATTGGTTTAATTTTGTGTGGAGGAGGGGAAAAACCTCATGGCTCGACCTTTCGTTTTAGATTTCTGCTTAACATTTCAGCTGAAAGTAACCTGAGAAGGTGTCAGGGCCCTGCTGAAATCAGGAGTCGTTTCCTCAAGTCCCAGGATTGGTAAATCAGGTTCAATCAGCCTTTTCTCACTGCCTTTAACCAACAGGACCCTGTTTATGATCAGAACAGACATGATGAAAATGTCTGATGTGTTATGAAACACGGTTTTTTTGGATGGGAGAAAAGCCTTCAAATCCTTTCTAGCCCTACTGGTGCTGTAAGACAGTAAATTGCTTTAACCAGCTTCGGGAAAGGGCTCATAACAGTGAGGATGGATGGTCTGAGGGGAGGCAGCAGGATATTGGATTCTGTGGCTGAGGTGATGTGTGTCCTGCCAGGCAGTGCTGGGGGTGCTGGAGCCAAGGGCTTTTGCCTCTCTGGGGCTCAGCCTCAGCTCCCCATCAGTGAGGAAATCACAGCCCTTAACCCTTCTGGGGCAGAATTCACCGTGTGCTGGAGCTGAAATCTTCAGCACCTCCACTGAGACTGAGGTGGTTTCAGGGCCAATGTTCTCACTGTGTCTTTTGTACCCCACCAGAGGTTTGCAACCAAAGCAAACCCAGTACTGGTTTAGTGAAAGAAATCAGTGATGGAAGGCTTTAATTCACTCTCCAGCAGGTTTAAATGCCCACAGAGGCACAGCTGGGTGGTGGGAGCCGGGGTCTCCTGGGTCATCCCATCCTCCCCAGGCTGCCCCTGGCTCTGCTCCTGCCAGGGTGGGGACTGTGGGACCTGTGCTGACCTTGTCACACCCCCGCACTCCACTCGGGGCTTGTTGCTTCTCAGCATGTCCAGACTTAGTGTTTCAGCTTTAGGGAGCCATAAACTGGCTCTTTTCTTGTGCCATGAGAAAAAACAGGCTCCGGAATGGCAATGGCCTGAATTTCCTATGGAGCGTTACAGGAAGCAGCCTTTTAATAGCAGCACCTTCCTGCACAGAAAATTAACCCGAATTTAAAAGTTATTTTTGCAGTGCTCTCGGTGCTGTGGTTCATACTGCTGCACTCAAGGGTTTGTGTAATCTTTTCTTCTTAGTAAAACCTAGGAAGTGAAGACAGATTTGTATCTGTGGAATAAAAATCCTTACTTTTCCCGTGGATTGCTTAGGGAACACCCAGCAAAGGGCTGCAAGTGCCTGGCCCCGTGTGAGGATTATGCCTTTTAGCAGCTTGTTAACAGGCAGCCGAATAACTGAAGTTAATTCTGTTGGATGTACGAGACTGGCTTTGAAGTTTCTAATGTTACAAGAAGAAGCCCTATAAATTAGGGCATAGCGGTGGAGGGGGGGAAGAGGTGGGATGCCAGTTTTGGGAGATGGATGCTCTGACTCCCAGCCCGTGGTGTGTTGAGTTGTGTGAGGAGCTGTCAGTGCCCATTCACTGCTCCATCCCGGGCTGGCACGGGAGCTGGGCAGGGATGGGCAGGGATGGGCAGGGATGGGCAGGGATGGGCAGGGATGGACAGGGATGGGCAGGGATGGGTGGCTGCATCCCCGGGGACCAGGCACTGCCCTGTGCCCCGGCTCGGGTGTCCTGGCAGACCAGGCGTGTGATTTCACCAGCGGGCTGCACAATCCTGTCAGCGCCGTGTCATTCGGGGGGTGACAAAAGACACCCGGCTCGGCTTTCCCCCGGGCCCCTCCGGTTACAGGTAAAACAGCCGCTGACAAATGAGACGGCATAATTACCCTTCAGGGCTGAGCAGCCCCGAGCGCCTCCGGCTGCGGGCAGGGAGGGAGGAGGGAAGGGAGGGGATGGTGGAGGAAGGGAAGGGAGGGGATGCTGATGGTGGAGGATGGTGGAGGAGGGAAGAGAGAGGGGATGCTGATGGTGGAGGATGGTGGAGGAGGGAAGGGAGGTGATGCTGCTGGCGGAGGGTAAAATAAAATTAATAAAACTTAATAAAACCCGAGCCCAAACACCTCGTGCATCCTGCTGAGGAAGAGCAGTTCTTGGTGTGTGAAGCTGGCTGTGAGGGAGCACAGGTCTGTCATGTCTGTGCAGAGGGACTTGCAGACACCCCCAGAGTTTGGGGGTGACCCTCCTCCCCTGCCCACTCGCCGAGGTGCCCACCCAGAGCCGTGGGTGAGCCCGGGTGAGCTGTGCAGAGAACTGTGGGTCAGTGTAAGTAGGACCCTGGGCTCTACGTGAGGTGTCAGAAGGGTCTTTGAGGGGGGGTTTTATTTTCTTTTTTATAACTGCAGCCTGGCTGAGAAAGTAGGTTGGAAAGGGAAAAGTGTCACTGAGGAGCAGCCCTGGCAGAGGAAGAGACCCTGGTGCATTAACACCGAAGTGTATCAGCTTTTCAAACGAGCTCTGTTGGAGGCTCTTTATATGTTGCCACCACTGATGATCAATAGAGTCTGGAAATTTTTTACTCTGCTCTTAACTTTCAAGTGATTTCCCTTTGAAGACATAAAATATCTTGAGAGAAAGCTGTTTAAAAGAAGTGCAAATTACACTCAGAACAGTACTAATCACCTCTTGAGATTTCTCCCTAAGGTTTAAGTTGATTTACAGTTATCAACAACAAAAAAGTGATGAAAATCAGTCGTTTTTCTAATAGTGCTTTTCTGGGGGAGAAGATGACCTTCAGTGGTGGGTCAGGTGGGTGGGTGCCCCCTAAGTTCTGTCCCCCAGGGGTTTTGGGGTCTCCTACAGAAGTACCTCGGGAGGAAGTGCTGGTGTGGGATGGCAGGGAAAGCTCCAGGTCTGAGTGACCTCAGCCAGAGAACAGGAATAGAGGCTGAGGGAAGGGAGGCTGGGGGACGTGCCAGGAGCCCTGTGGCCGTGGGGGACACAGTGACAGGCTGAGCAGAGCAGGGTGAAGGTGCTGAGCAGAGCAGGGTGAAGGTGCTAGGCAGTTGGAGGTGTCCCCTGGGCAGGGCTGGGACTGGGCAGGAGTGAGGTTCAGAGACACGAGGAAGGGAAACCTCTTGGCAGCCACGGCCTTGGCACAACAACCTGGATTCCTCTCCTCTTTCCCCGTGACTGTGCTCGGTGGGCTCACACACCTCTTTTTTTTTTTGTCTGTGTTTTTGTCTCCACCCAGGGCAGTGATGGTGACTCAGTGGATAAGAACAAATGCTGCACACTATGTAACATGTCCTTTACCTCAGCAGTGGTGGCCGAATCGCATTACCAGGGGAAAATCCACGCCAAGAGGTTAAAATTGTTGCTGGGGGAACAACCAGCACTGAAGGCCACAGGTAGGTCCAGGGGCAGGGAGTGGGGCTGGCACGGGGGGCATGGGCTGTGCCCGGGGGGCTCAGTGTGTGTGGGCAGAGATGGGCACAGCCTGGATGGCTGAGTGGTGGTGGCTGGCAGGAGCAGCTGTTCCTTTGTGTTGCTGTCATAACAACCTTTAAAAATCGCTGATGCTCGTTATTGTCTGCTTTGTTCGGGCAGATGAGGGGTTTGTCAACCAGGGCTGGCCCTGGTGTGAGAGCCCCGTCTCTGGCTCCACAAGACAATGTCTCTGCTGGGCACAGAGAGCCAAACCTGGCTTTAATTATCAGCAGTTACTCGACAGCTCCACTAATACATTTAATAAACCTTTGGTGTTACTGTGCAGAGCAGAGCATAAGCTGCGCTTACCTCAGAGGGAAATCCAGGCTTTAAAAACTCTTGGATTGATTGTCTCTTGATTTTTGCCCAGATGGGTTTTGTGCTTTCCTCCACAGTGATTCCACTAATGCAAGCCTATTAACTTTCACATTTAAAAAGTCAAGTGTTGGAATCGGATAATTTAACCATCTTATTGTTTGCTTAACCATAAAGTCCCTGAAAAACGCTGATAATCTGTGAAAAGAAAAAGAAAATTCCTCTGTTGTTGTGGGGACCAAGAATGCTCGAGCAAAACACTCCCTGTTCTCCAGGAAGGATCCCGGGCTGAGGTCCTGCAGGGAGATGTGACCCAGAATTGCTGCTCTGGGCCCTTCCATTCCAGGGAACAGCACAGAGACTGGTTCCCATGTGAGCTGATGGTTTGGATTCTCCCGTGGGGACTGTGCAGGCAGGTACAGGGGCCATGGGGCCCGGCCAGGGCAGGGCTCACCAAGAGCTGCAGCCTTGCACTGTGTGCTTTGGTCTCACTTTTGAATCATCTGGATCAGCCTCACCAGGCTCTAAGTGAGCCACACTTGGTGCTCCAGAGTAATGGGCTCTTCAGCACCCTAATCACTGGGAAGGAGTAACTCAAGGACTCATCAGCTCTTCCAGGCACTTGATCTGGAAGATGAAGCTGAGCTCAGGAATACATTAATAAGCACCTCCCTGCTCTCCAGGAGTTCTCAGAAATACAGCCTTTGGACACAGCATTTTTTTGGGCTTCCTAAAATCACCCGGCATTTTTCCACGGGATTTTTGTCCCAGTCCTTTGTGTCTGGCACCAGGGAGCTTTAATTCTGTCAGACAGAGCTTCAGAGACTCCAGTGCTCGTAAGTCTTGGGAGTCAGATAAGCACAGCCCTGAGTGTGCTGGGTGCTCCTGGGGAAGATATTCTGCTGCTTGATATTCTGGGGTTTCTGTCTCATCAGCCCTGAAGAAAATCACATCTAGTCTCAGTCTCCTTGCAGAGATGCACCTTCCCCTTCACTGTTACCATCCAAATGGAACACAAATCTCTCGTTCTCTGCTGGTGCTTTCAGGAAAGGCAGAAGTGCCCCAACAGTCGGGTTTCTCACAAAAATGATGTCTCATCATGACAGCGAGGGAGTTGTGATCTTCCCTGTTGCTCTGCTCTACAAGGTTGTACCCCTCAGAGGCTTTATGTCACTGCCATTGCTGACGGATTCCTCTAGTCACTTCCAACATCCCCTGTCAGCTTGCATCCCATCATCCCCAGGAGTTATCAACCAAAGAATTGGGGGGGAAATCGCTGCTGCCTTCATTGATCCGAGTCCAGGGACCTGCAGGGGTTTTTCCAGGCAGGTGGCAACAGTCCTGGCTTTGGGACACCAAGGGGGGCAGAGGAAATGGCTTTTGGGTTTGGATGCAAGGACCTGTCCAGCAGTGGCTGGAGTCTGCCTTAGTCCCAGATTTCTGGGATTTCTTCTGAAGAAAACCGAGTTTCCCCAGTGCCCCTTTGTTGTGGCTCAGTTATTTCTTGTCCTCACGCTGAGTTCCTGGAGCGTGCCAATGGAAAAGTTGGGTGCCATTTAAATCCAGCTCAGAATAAGAAGCTCTGGATGTGAGAAAGAAGTCAAACGTTGGTTCATCGCTGGAGTGCTAAAGTGTTTCTAACTTTGTATTTTGCCTCTTGCAGCAAAGTAAGACTTTCTCACTTCCCTCCCACAGTGAAAGGGAGCGTAAGGCAGACTGTCATGAGCTATTTAGCATTTTGAAATACTTGAAATAGTCAAACTCGCAGCTTTTATGTTTGTGTTTTAGATGGAGAAACATTTTTAACGTTTGACGTTTTGTGAGTGTTTATTATTAATTTTCGTGTTGCTGCTCAGGGAATGATGGCATTTGCTGTTCTGCAGCAGTTCTGGAGCACATATCAAACCCATGGATCCGCATTTGGGGAGAAGTCAACTTTCATCTGTTTCTCTTCAGGAGGATTTGGTGAATTTGGGGTGTTTTCATTAATTGCCAGGCCGGCTCAGCACACCTTGGGAGTGCTGGGGGTTGTCAGTGGGACCTGGGGAGTGTGACTTTACAAGCAGATGTTCTGTGCTGGGTGCTGAGAGGAAACCCCTGCCTGGGGCAGCCCCTCTGTGCTGTGGGCAGGGGGTCCCTGCCGTGGGGCTCACAGGGAGCTGGATGTGGTGCTGGGCTTGGAGCAGGGCCGGGGTGGGCACGGGGGCTCTGGTGCCACCCTGCTGACAGCCTCCTGCCCACCAGCCTGGGGAGGGCTCAGAGGCACAGCCACGGGGCTGCTGGGCCAGCCTGGGGCTGAGAGCAGAGATGCTGCTGTCGGGTTCCCTCAGTGAGTGGGAGATGTGACTCCTGCAGACACCACCAGCTCCAGGAGCTTCAGCCTCCCTGGTTCCCCTCCGGCCACAGGAAACGTAGAAACAGGGGGAAAGCTGAGCAAAAGGGTGGAGAGATTTAACTTTGTAGGAAAGCTGAGCAAAAGGGTGGAGAGATTTAACTTTGTAGGAAAACTGACCAAAAGGGTGGAGAGATTTAGCTTTATTGCCTGGGGCTTGCAGAGCAAGTCAGATCTGTCAGAGCTCCGGAGCTGCCCGAGTCACTGGTTGTTTAGAATGGTCTGAACATCTCTGCAGCTCAGTCTGGTGCCCCAGCACAGCTCAGCCCCATCCTGGGGCACTGCAGAGGGTCCTCCTGGCATCACTGGGGCTGTTCCCAGTCCCTGTGGCATCACTGGGGTCTGGGCATGGACCCCTTCCTGCAGGGGGGCTCCTGGGGGAGTGCAGAAATGTGCCTGCAGTGGGCAAACTGTGCTTCTTTGTGTAAGCCAAGCACCTGCAGGGTCTGTGTGATCCCAGTTTGGAGAGGCAATATTGCAGTTCCCTCATTTTTTTCCCAGTGGCCGTGCTGGCCCCTGGCTCTGCTCTTCCTGCACCTGCAGTTCTGCCACGTGCACCCTGGAGGGGCTGGGCTGTGTCTCTCCTATGGGAACTGTAGGAAAGGTGTTGTTTTTAGGAGCCAAACCCAGCTGGGCCCTGCCCCTGCCCGGAGCAGCTCTTCAGAACTCTGATACCCTGGCAGTCATCACCAAAAACAATAGAGGCTTACAAACCCCTGGAAGCTGAGAAGGTTGTTAGTAATGTTAGAGGCAAGATAGAATTTCCTCGAAGGAAGTTAATAGACGAGCAGGTCAGCAGAAGATTTATAACAATATTAACTTTCTCAAGCCGTGGAGTCAATCACAGTGGGCTCCAGGCATGGCTGGGTGCCTAAATATATCCCTGTGTTGCCATTCCTGGTGTCAGACACTGAGGTGGGTCTGGCATTCTCTGCCCTGTGTGCTCATCAGGGCTCAGCTGGATCACCTCCTGATCAAAGAGAGCCACCACACGCCTCTCACCACCTCCAAATGTGCCTCTTCCAGTGCCACGGGGAGAGCAGGCTGTTAATTATTTAGGGAGCAGACATTTCATCTGGAAAAGAAAAGAAAAACCACATAAAAGGGAATTTTTGAACGAAGCGTGATAATTAAGTGCTAGTCATTGTATATTTTTGTATCGCAGTGTTGTCTGAACTTTATTTTTACTTTAAACTGTTTTTCCCTGGCTCTGTGACTTGTATTGCACAAAGTTGGGGAACTGTGTTGAACAAGGTGCACTCCATTATATAAAGACTAATCCCCCATTTTTATTTGGAATGACTGGGGGGTCATCTTTGTGTTCCTGGATGGGCTGGAAAATGGAATTAAGTTAAGATCAGGGGTTGCTGGTACCTGACAATTCACACTGTGAAGGTCTATGAAGGATGGGGCTGAGTATTGAGTATTTTTTTTTCATCTGTGACAATTTACAATGACTGCGGCTTCCCCTGTTCTTTCTGAGGCCAAATAAATTAAAAAATAAGAATCCTGAGATAGTGATAAATCCGTCTCTCTGTCGTGAGAAGGAGATGGCTCTGCATGGTATATTTATCCTCCATCGGTGATTTTTCCTTGGAGTAGCAATTCAAGCAGGATAAGTTTAGCAGATTTAGTCACAACAGTGGTAAGACGTGTAACTGAACTGAGAGCCTCCTCCTTCCCCAGCTCCTGAAACTCAGAAAGCCGAGGAACAGTCCCGGGCTGTCCTTTCATGCTGCTTTTTTTAATGAGAAGTGGTAGATTTCCATCCAAAATATCCACTGGGACCCTGTAACTGCTGCTAATTATTCCCCGTGTCTAATGTGGGCTCTGCCTGGGGCTCTGCTGTTCACTCAGGCGGCAGCAGGAGCCTGGAGAGCTCATGTCTGGACGTTCCCTTCCTCGCAGAGGCCGCGCTGGGCTCGCTGAAGGCGCCGCACACGGACAGTCCCCCTGTGCCGTCCCCGCCGCAGCGCCGCGACTCGGACCGGTACTGCCAGCTCTGCACTGCCTGGTTCAACAACCCCCTCATGGCACAGCAGCACTACGACGGCAAAAAGCACAAGAAGAACGCGGCCAGGGCCGACCTCCTGGAGCAGCTGGGCAAGACCCTGGACCTGGGGGAGCTGAGAGGTGAGGGAGAGACACGTGGAGATCGGGGGGCTGCGGTCGCTGCTCCCCTGCTCCAGTGGTGCAGGGAGCCCAGGGGTCCTGTTGCTGCTTCACGAGGTTCCCACTTCTGTGAAACAAAAAAATCCCCTGCTCCAGGGTGCCAGCAGGATGCAGTTTTAGCAGCATCCTTTCCAAGTTGTTTCCTAGGCATCTCTTCTGCCTCCTCCTAAAATAGTCCCTTCCATTAGCACACACGCCTGTCCTCCAGCAAGTGTGGCCCGTCCCTGGGAGAGGAGAACACACTTGTCCCCACGGGGAAGCGGGGATGGGAGGATGTTGCTGGAGGCAGAGCAGTCCCTACATGTCCCTGATGGAGAGTGGGACAGAGCTGTCTGCTGTGATTTAATTAGTGCTTGTAAAACACTGCGGTGGCCCCGGGCCCGCAGCAGCCAGAGGAGCTGAGCACTTGCTGTGGGGATGTCAAACACAAGTTTTCTGTGTTCCTGCAGAAGGGAGAGCAGCCTTCCTCTGCTTGTCTGTCTGTCTGTCTGTCTGTCCACCCGTGCTGGCCCCAAGGGGAGGAGCTCTGGCTGTGGGGTCTGTGCCCTGGGGTCACACAGGTTTGGGCTTTGCCAAACCCCTTTGGGAGCTGCTCTGGTGCAGAGCAGAGCTGCAGCCCCCCGGGACCCCCAGGCCCTCCCGAGCCTGTGGTGAGAGCTGTGGTTTGTGCTGTCCAGGACTGGATCCTGACAGAGCACAGGTTTGCTCTGAGGGGCAGGCACAGGAGGGGGACGAGCCTCCTGTCTCTGAGGTCTGGGTTGTGATCCCATGTGCAGACTGAGGGAGAAGGGCAGGTTTGGTTCAGAGCCAAGTGGCAGAGGTCTGGTTTGCCAGCGAGGCTTTGCAATAACGTTTTAAAATACCTGTTTTTTTTTTCTTTGCTAAATGAAATAATTTCCCTTTAGGTACTAATGACTATACAATATATTGTGCATTTCTTGATCTCCCATAAACCTTGTAATGGTTATCCAGATCCTCCTGTGCTACCTAGTGTGACTCATGGTGTCATCAATGATTCATGGGGCTGAGTCACTGCCCGCTGCTGGAAATGCGGGAATAAAACCTGGGACAATAACATGGAAGTGCTCGGTACTTTGAACTGTGCCAAGCTCAGGAGTGGCCGAGGGTGTCATTAACTGTAAATAAATCAATTGTGAAGTGTTTTATTCATTTAGCTTGTGCCCGGGAGAGTTGAAATTGGAGGCCTTCACAGCCTCATCGGCCGCTGGTTTTTACCCTCCCAGGGTGCTGGGCATGGCTGGGGTTTGCAGCTGGGTCCAGTGTGGGTGGCAGGAGAGGGGACAGCAGAGCTGTCCTGGCTGTGTGTGTGTGCCTGGTGCAGGGGAGCAGCTCTGGCCCTCTGGTTGGACACTGCAGGGTGCTGGTTTGGGGGCTGCAGCCTGTGGTGCTCCCCAGCACCAGGGAGGTGTGAGCCAGGGAGCCAAAGGGGCTGTTCCTGATCCTGTTCCTGATCCTGTCCCTGATCCTGTCCCTGATCCCATCCCTGATCCTGTCCCTGAGCCCATCCCTGAGCCCATCCCTGAGCCCATCCCTGAGCCTGCCAAGCTGGGAAAGCTTTTCTCCACTTTTTCTTAACTAGCCTGTGTCCATCTGTCCATCTCTGTCCCTCCAGAGATGCTCTCCTGGGTGCAGATCTCTAGGTCTTGAAGGCAGTGGCTGCCTCAGTTTTCCCTGGAACGCAAAGTCATCCCCTTCCCCTGCATCCCTGGTGGCTTCTCCCATCACAGCTTAAATATTAATTCTATTTTGACTAGTGTGGGAGACGAACATTTGATGCATTGTGTGAGCCTGGAACAAGCAGTGTCAGTTGAAGTACAACATTTCAGCAGCCTTTGATGTTGTGATAATGGCTGTAATAAAATATTTATTGATAAATATGAATGTGTATTTGGAGAAATAAGAATAGAGATGTATTTTTGGACAACTGATATTTATAGGAAACAAAAACATTGATTCTTCTCACCAAGTGCTCATCTTGCAATTTTGAAGTCTTATTTTCTTCTCAGAAATGAGAAAGAGGAGGGAAAAAAAAAAAAAAGAGGAGAAATGAGCACCATTTCTGCAGCGTGTGGTGTGTGTTGAGTTGAAGCTGCAGCACAGGGGAGTGCACAGGCACAGACCCCTGGGCCGAGGGGAGGGCAGGGTCCAGCCCTCTCTCTCCGAGCAGCTCCGTGTGGTTTCCCAGCTGTGGCACTGAGCTGCTCCTGCTCCCCCTGCTCCCAGGGCTGGCCTGGAACCCCCTCAGCTCCCGCTGGGCAGGGAGGGATGTGGGCATAGACTGAGAGAGGGAGAAATTAGGAGTTCTCTTCCTGCAGAGCTGCCTCCCCTGGCTACCCCTGAACCCTGGCACGGATCATAGAGAGACAAAACCCGGTGGGTCCCAAACCTGAGATTCCAGGCTCTGCCCCCTCAGGCTGTGCCTGTTCAGCTCAGGAGTGGCCGTGGCTCGGGTGGAGGGAGGCACTGGCACAGTTCCACCTGGCAGCTCTCGCCCTGCCCAGCCTGTGCCAAGCACGGGGAGGAGGAATGGCAGGTTTGCTCTGTCAGGTCACACCTCACCAGTTCCAGTCCCTGTCTGGTGTCCCCCATGGCCGAGCTCTCGTGTTCCCTCTCCAGGGCAGGTGGTTTGTAATGGACTCTGCCTGGTGCTGGGGCTGAGTCAAACTCTGCAACAGGTGCCCTGAATCCCTGAAATAAAGCACAGCAGCCTGTGCAGCACAGCAGGACAAGGGCATGGGGATGTTGTCACCTGGAGCCTTTGTGTTCTCAGGTACATTGGTGGTGTTGCAGATGCCCTCTTGCAGAATCAGGCAAAGAGCTGAGTTTCATTTTCTATCTCGTCCCATAATTTCTTTGTATGGCTTATAAATACTTCTCATTCTGTTCTGTCACTTGTGGTTAGTAGGAAGCAGTTTAACAAGAACTCCCCTGGAATGGGTTTTAATGCATTTTATGCAGAATGACATTAATGACTTGGCTTGTTAATATTTCATTTAATGGGGATAGGAGGACATTCAATTTTACATGAATGCCTGTCACGCTGCAGGGGAGGGAATGCTGATGTGTCATGAGGATGCAAAAGGGAATGTGAGCACATCCAGAGCCCAGCAGCTCCTGGCAGGGGCTGCTCAGGCTGGGACCACCTTCCCATTGCTGATGGCCCGTGGGGTTGAGCTTGAGTTTTATGGAACCAGTTTCAGCCAAGTGGCAGCTTCGGTGAGCTCCAGTGGGATGAAGTTCTGGTGGTGCTGGTGTCCTGGAGGTTGTTCTTGCAGTGAGCTGGAGCCTGGTTCATTAACACTGTGGGTTCTCTCCGCAGGCCTGAAGCGCAGCTACACCTGCAACATCTGCAGCGTCACCCTGAACTCCATAGAGCAGTACCACGCGCACCTGAAGGGCTCCAAACACCAGACCAAGTGGGTATTGTCACCCTGCTCCCCCTGGGCTCCAGCCAGGCTGTGCCTGCTGGGCTGGGATTGCCCGTCAGGGTGCTCTGCACTCCCACAGCCCCGTCAGCACAGGGGCTCTGGGGGCTGGGAACACACAGAGGCCCCCCCAGCTCGAGGAACACAGGGGCTTCCTGGAGTCCTGCTGGCTCGTGGCTAATGATACCAAGTTTGCAGCTTCTTTCATGTGTGAAACCTCAGAAGAGACACCAGCACTGTAATGGGATTAGGTGTTTCCCAGTGAAACTGTTTTTGCTGTGATTTAGAGCAATTATGCATTACCCAGCTCCGAGGACTGGGGGGAGCCTGCTCTGTCAATTAGTACAAATTATTAAAATGAAGTGATGAAGATACATGGTACCAGAGAGTAGATTAATAAACTAATCGCTCTTAATGCACTTACATGTGAGCTTTGGGAACTGTTTCAGGCTGGAGCACTCAGGACTGCCCAGATTAGGAGAGGAATATAAAGGGATGTACCTGCAGTGCTTCAGGTGGCTTTGAGGGCAGTCTGAGAGGTGAGCAGGATGAGCAGAACCAGCAATAACCACTAATGGCTCACTTGGCTTAAGCCAGCAAAGGATAAACCCAGCCCTTCCCCAGATGATGTTGGACCTTCACAAATTCCTATTATTCACAGATTCCTTATTATTCACGTGAGTTCTGTCCTATTTATTCAGGGATTTCTCCTCCAGCACTTCTCCCTGATGGTGATCCCTGCTTGGCCAGGTTACAGTGGGGACAGTGTGGACAGGGTTGGGGTCTGTATCCAGTGCAACAAATTCCCACTGCTGGAATACAGAGCCGAGAGCACTTCCCGTGGGAAACCTGGAATGAGAGCATCTGTGCTGAGCTGCCTGGGCCCAGAGCTGGAATTTATCCTTCCCCTGCTGGTCCTTCTGAGCCTGGATGATTATTGCTGTGGCTGCTGCTGGTATTGCTGTGAAGGATAAAGGAGTTCATCCCAACCCACAGCAGCCTCATGGATGGGAAATAGAGATGTGCAGAAAGATGTGCCACCACTCTGCAGTGCCAGGAGGGTGCCTGGTCCTCTGGGTTATCCCCACACCTGCTCTGTTGTGCAGCCTCCTGCAACTGGCAGAGATGGAGAAATCTTCATTTCTAGTGCTGGGAACGAACACCTTGGGAAGTTAGTTGTGCCGTGGCTGTTGTAGGAGTGCCATGGTTGTTGTAGGAGAACCATGGTTGTTGTAGGAGTGCTGTGGCTGTTGTAGGAGTGCCATGGTTGTTGTAGGAGTGCTGTGGCTGTTGTAGGGAATGCCATGGTTGTTGTAGGATGCTGTGGCTGTTGTAGGAGTGACTGATGGCACGTGTGCCCTCGGCTCAGCCCGTTCCCAGTGCAAAGGGATGTGCTGGGCAGCACTAACAATGGATTTTGGCAGGGCTGCATCTGTGTTTCTGTAGCTTTCTCCGAGCAATTACCTCTTCTACACAAAGAGAGAGAATCTGGAAATCCAACCCTGGTCCTCTGCCGAGTTTCCACAGCCATGGTGTCCCCTTGGCCATTGCAGCACCGTGGCTCCCCAGGGTGCTCTGTGCTGGGGGACGGGTGAGGATCATCCCCTCCTTGTACCTTGGCCAGTGTTTTCCCACTGGTCTCTGCTGTTCTCATTATTGTTGGTTAATGTCAAGACTGTCCTCTGCCTCGTAACTCAGGCTGAAGCCAGTGGACTGCAGTTACCAAGGCAACAAAACATTTTATGTAGCTGTCATACTTCATATAATTAAAAACTAAACGGACCCGAAGAAGGGGGCAGCAGTTTGTGAAGGAAATGGATGAAGGGATAGAGGGATTTTGCTCCTGGACAGGTGAGCAGGGAAGGTGATTGCGTGGTGGAAGCTGGTGCCACCCAAAAAATGCTGGGCAGGTGTGTTCCCAGGCCCCTGTCACTGCCCCACACGGGACTGGGGGTCCTGCAGCTCCGGGGGCAGCACAGAATTTGGGGCTCGTGCCCTGGGCAGGGCTGAGCCCTTCACAGGAATTTCAGGGGCTTCCCCGAATGTTTCTGACTACATTTGTTTGACCAGAACAGGGAAAACAGGGCTTGGGAGGGAAGCTGGAAGTGTCTTGGCTTGTGTTTTGGTGTTGAATAAAAGATGCAGGAGGAGGGAGCTAATACTGAGCCAGTCCTTCTCCCTCCGGCCAGTGAATATGCAAAGCAGATACATCTGCCAGCTCCCATTTTTTCTCCAGGGTGCAGGTACTTGAGCTGTGTATTTGAAAATTAAGGTAAAATGCTGCCCTTGAGCGTGTGGGAACGTGCTCTGCTCGGGCTCTGGCGGGAGATGCAGGGAGCAGGTTTTTTGGGATGTGGATGGACTCTGGAACATCTGCAGCGGGGAGGAGCCCTGAAACCTTTAATTAGGGATTTATGAACTGCGTGGAGATGATTGAGTCATTGTTTGACTTGCTCTCCAGAAATAGATGTGGGGGTTTTTTTTAATCTCCTCCCTCCCTCCCTCCCCCCAGAGGAGCAGCAGTGCTGGGCAGGGTGCCAGGCTGAGCCCTGGTGGGCACCAGCAGCTCCGGCCCGGGGGGACCAGCAGCAGCCAAAATGCCAGCTGTGAAGGTTACCTCCAAAGGGCTGGGAGGGGAGCACGTGCCAGGCTGGCTCCTCACTGCCTGCCGTGGGCTGGCAGAAACAAAACCTCCCTCTCTTCTGCTCTGTGGAAACTGCGAGGGTGAAAAGTCGCCGCTCGAAGTGATTTGCAGCAAACAGCGGGGATTGAAGGTGCCAGGTAGTTGTGAAAGGAGCCAGAGGATGCTCCAATTCCACGGGTCAGAGCAATGCCTGTGTGGAATGTTTACCCTGGGGCTTTGCAAAAAGTGGGTAGGACGTGTGGGTAGAAGGACCAGAGGTGGTGCTGGCAGACCAGAGAGCCCAGACCCACATTTGGGGTCAGTGCCATCCCTGGGGCTGTGGGTCCATCACACGTTGCAATAACATGCCAGAGAGCAAGAGCTGAGAGCTGAGAGCTCTGAGCTCTGAGCTGGGAGCTCTGAGCTGTCCTCCACCACTCGGGCTGTCAGCGATGGGAGGCTGAGATCCAGCCCTAGTAATTAAGAGTCTGACTGTGTGGGGATAATGATTACCACTTCCATAAAGAAGAATTTTCTCTTCTCGCCTTCATTTTCTCTTTGATCAGCCAGGCCTCTCTGCCACATCCAGAGCTCACAAATGTATTCCGGGGTTTTATAACCACTCATTTACGCTCTCCTGGGTGCTAATGCACGTCTGGGTTTCCCTTTCCAGCTCTGGGTTCCTGATTAATTTTAGGGCTTTTGCAGAGAGGGGACCCGATCCCGCAGCTGTCGTTGGGGTAAAACCAATTTAGTGGCCAAAATGAGTTCTCAAGAGTTGGGAATGGTCATGTCCAGTCAGGGAGGTGGCTCTGCAGCCCTTCCTACACAGCCCTTGGTCCAACTTTGGGCTGCACCCTGTGGAAGCCCAGATGGTCGATGTGCTGCTGAGGAGCAGGGACAGCAGGTTTGGGCCTGGGTGGGCTCTTTCCTCTTTCCTTTTCTTCCCTTTTTTTTTTTTTCCTGGTTGAGAACACAGATGTCTGATTGGAGCAGGGCATTTATCACCATAAGCTGCTATTCAGGAACCAGAGCTGATCAAAATATTGTAAATATCTGCCTGGAGAGATGTCAGCCTTGCCCGTGGCTGCGGCTCCGTCGCTGCTCCCGCCTGTTTGGGAAGGTGTGAACAAACACTGACAGCCTGTTGTGGCTGCAGCTCCTCCTGGGGTCTGTGTGTCTGGCACAGCCTGGGCAGTGCCAGGGGAGGCTCTGGGACCCCCTGGCCCTGCTCCATTTGGGGCACATCTGATGCCAAGCAGGGTTTCTGTTCCCTCTGGGTGTTTCCAGCCCCGTCTCCGGTGCCAGAGGGTCGGGCTCCTCCTGGGCATCCTCCCCCAGAAGGAATGGGTGCTTTGATAAAGGATTTCCAATACATTTCTGGGAAAATTTATTGGAAGCCAAATGAGTTTTCTCTTGCCTTGGTGGCTGCAGCTTTTATTGGTAAGAGTAACACTTCCATGTGCTTTCTGTGATATGTGGTATCTGATGCCTAAAGAAGCCTTTAGATCAATAGCAACTCCAGAAGATGAATAGTTATAAAAGGTAGATAGAACTGAAAGGCATTTTAATTTGTCATTGTTTCAGTTCCAGAGAGCAGCTGAATAATTGCACTGCCTGTGAAGAGAGTGTGTAATGCTTTCTCTCATTATAGGTCTAAATTGCCTCCCTTCCCTTTTAATGTAAGTGAAAATAAGATATCTCTGATATCTTCTGTTTTGATCACAATTTGAAAGCCCTGGAATGGCCTGTGCAACTCTGTGTCATGGTGTCAGGTGCACAGATTAATTTTTTTCATGTAAAGCCCAAACACTGGGCTGAGTGCTCAAAGCACAAACCTGAGCTTGCCAACCCCAGTTCCAGTGAGGGATTCCTCATCAGCTGGGCCTTGGAGGGGGCGAGTTGGGCAGGGTTTGTGAGGCTCTTAAATTCAAGTTCAGAATCTAGAGAAAGGATACTTTTTCTGAATTGCTGTGGGGAATTTCTTTCACAAAAAATGCGAAAAAATGTCCTTAAAATTGCAAATATGCTTTAGGTGGAAAGAGTGTGACTTTGGCCTTGGTTCTCTCTTGCAGCCTGAAGAACCAGTAGTGGCTCATCAGTGGGGACAAGGACAAGCACCGATGCTGCTGCTGCAGAGAGGAGGCTCAGCAGGAGAGGAGCCTTTCTTGGACAATGATTCCGTGTGGATTCAATAATTAACATGTAACTAACCTTCGCTTTGGACAGATACATGGATTTTTTTTTTAATTTTGTGGTGAGTTAAAATATTTCGATGGATTTTTTTACCCTTTCAGGACAATATTTATTCAGCACAGAGTCTAGAGTATGATAACTATCCTGTAAATACAGCACTTACTCATCAGTCATCTTCAGAGACAGTGGAAACAAACTATTTTACTTTTTCATATTTATTCTTAGATTCCTCCCAAGAGTAAAAGATTATTCTATTACATTATCCATGATAGTGATGTAATCAGTCTTCAATCAGAAATAAACACACTTTCTTCACCTTCTCCAGCATGGTTTGTGTCAACATAAAGAGCAGCAGCGGTGAATCACGGGGATCCTGTAACAGATGAGCTTTTTCCTTCCCTCTTTGTCTCTGGAGAAACGAATGGTTCCATGAGCAAAGAACACTCAAATGAAAGGGTAAATTCCTTTTTTCCCTGCTGGTGGGATTCCAGAAGCTGTTTGCCTGGTGGACTTTGATGCAAGCCCGAGGCTGTCCCCACCAGGCAGCAGCAGCTCGTCCCCTCTGCCTGCTCTGGGATCTGAGCAGAGGGAAGGAGCCGAGGCAGGGACTGACCTGAGCCTCTGGTCCCACCAAGGGATGGGTCAGGGGTGCTGCAGCATCACCCCCTTGGCTCTGAGGGGACAGTGGGAGCCGCTGCAGAGGCTCTGTGTGATTAATTTGTGCTCTTGCATCGATGCCTTTCGTGTGCGGAGGAGAATGGGTTGTTCACAGATGAGTAAACATCTCCTTGGGTTTCATAGCTGTGGGGTGGTTTCATTTATTGTGTTTTGGGTAATAACACAAGCTGCCAGTGTTCCTGAAGCTAAACTGCCTCTTTACAGAGAGAATGATTTACAGAAATAGGGCACATCAGTCATGCGGGTGCAGGGCTGACTCTCCTGAGCCTCCTTCCCCCAGAGTCCTCCTCCCCCAGGCGGCTCCCAGGGTGCTGCAGAGGCGTTTTTGTCAGGAGAGAAAAACAAAAACCGTCTAACTGTGTGCTCTGGTAATCACTACAAGCTAATTGCAGCAAATTAATTACAGCACAAGCACAATTCCTTTCCCCGGGCAGGTGTGGAGGCAGCTCTGCAGTGAGCTGGGTCAGCCCTGGCCTCTGCTCCCAGCCTGTCCTCCTGCCCTGGCTCTGGGACCTGCTGCCTTGCTTGGTCCAAGAGAATGAGTAAAGGCAGAGGTCCTGGCTCTAATTTAGAAGGATCCAGACTTTCTGCCCCTCCAGCACCTCTGGGGTGGGTGGTTTGTCCTGTGGCCCTTCAGAGCAGGAGGGTCAGTGCTGCCAGCGGGATTCCCACGTCCCACATCCCACATCCCACATCCCACCTCCCACACGGCCCAGGTGAGTGAGGAGCAGGTGAGTGAGGGTGAGGGGCCCTGTCACATCCCCCCAGCTCTCCTCCTTCCACCTGGGGTGACAGAGCAGTTGCAAATATTGTCCTGGTCCAGTCAATCAGGCTTTGGTTCCTAAATCCTTCTAATCTCTTGCTTTTCCTAAGTTCATTAGGCCTTCAAAGCAAGACATAAAAAGACAAATCTCCTCGTGGTAAGTCAGTGATCCCTGCAGAAATGCTGCCAGATCTCTGATGTCGAGCCTGGTCCAACCACCCCAGGCTGAAACACCGTGAGTGGATGTGTCAGAGAACTTTGAAAATGGTTCAGTGCAACCCTTGTGTCCCCCGGGGTTACTTTAAACTGAAGGGTGAAAACGTTTGCATGTATTTCCTTAATTAAAAAGAAACCAAACACACACTCTGCATTTTCCATGCATTCCATCTATCTGTACATTACAGAACTGAGTTTTGTTCTGGCCAGATGTTTTCCCAGCTTAAAATTCTGTGCAAGATGCTCTGTAAAGGAGGGAAATCTCACTAACTTGTCATCAGTCCAGCTGGGTCTCACCCCACACAAACTTTGCAGAGCAGTGCTAACTGGAGCAGTGCTGTCATGGGAGACAGCTGGAAATGTGGTTATTGACACTGGGACTGTCATCTTTTGGATGTGTTTTATTAGAGTTACTAACACAGCTCTCCAGGCTCTGGTGCAGATGTGCCACGTTATGTTTTGGGGGCAAGGACTCTGTGGTGTTTTATGCTCAGCACAGCACAACACAAGTGTGTGGCTTTATCTGAGGCAACAGAGCTCTATGGCAACGGGGTGTAACGTGAGGCTGCCCCAGACACAGCCTCACCCAGAGATTAATCACAGGGGGAGAGTGCTCCTGGTACCCAAGTGCTGCTTCCTTTGTTGAGTTCCTATTGCATCAACTTAATTAGCAAGTGCTGACCTTTAAAACCACCTTCCCTAATCTCCAAATGAAGTGTGTGGAAGTCTGATTCCTCCTGGGGGCTGTGCTGGCAGCTCCCTGCTCCTGTCTGAGGGAGCCCTGTCCCACCAGGAGAGGCCGTGGAGAACCCCCAGGGCTGGGGCACCTCTGGAGACAGGTGGGACCCAGTTTGGGGGTTGAACTTTTGGGATCTCCAGAGAGAGCAGATGTCCATCAGCACTGCAGTGTGTCCCCCACTGAAGTTACTGCACTGGGCTCAAGTGTAAGACTTTATGATAGATTTTGTGGTGGGCCACTGCTCCCTCATCGAGCCCTGCTCGTGGGTCTCTGACAAAAGCCTTTGTCTAACATGGTTTTAATCAGTGTGTGCGTTTCAATTTGCATATTAATAGCAAGGAACTCTTATTACAGCTGCTGTTGATGAGATGGTGTCAAGCCCATCTTCCCATCTGAGCAAAGAAAGAAACTGCATCTATTGTATGAAGAATGACACTGGCAGAAAACATGTCCATTCTTTGCCTCTGTCTCCCTTTATTTTGCTCCTGATGGCTCATATGGATGCATTCATTAGTCTTTTCTTTTCCCCTTATAACAAGGATCATTTACCAGGAGACTAAGGCAGGATTTCAGGCCTGTTGTGACAGCCCCAGGCTAAACACCACAGCTTTGTTCGGCGTTTTTAACTCCTGAAATGGCAAAAAGGTGCCCTGGGAGCTGTTTGTTGTAGCAACCCAGGATGGTTAACGTGCCATAATGAGCCACGGCACTGCCTGCTCTCCAGGGTCCAGCCTTTCCCAGCTCCAGAGGTGTTGGTGTTGCCATCCATCCCGGTGCCAGTGACCAGCTGTGGTGGTGGAGCCAATTCCTGTGGTCTGATGGCAGCAGGGGCAGCTGGAACGTGGCTGCTGTGGCACAGAGGATGTGCAGGGGCAGTGGGGTGAGAGGGGGCAGCTGGAATGTGGCTGCTGTGGCACAGAGGATGTGCAGGGGCAGTGGGGTGAGCCAGGGCTCGTGGAAGGGCTCAGAGCGAGCCCTGAGCGAAGGGAAGCTGCAGAAATGGGAAATGCAGAGGAAAATTCCGCGGGAAAACCAGCCCGTGGAAGGAGCCGGAGGAAGGGTGAGTGAGCCCTGCAGTGGGGGGGTGCTGCTCATGCACATTTAATGAGAGCAGTGCTGGTCTGAGCAGACAAACGACCTCAATTCACCCACTGCTCGGTGCTATCGATTCAATGGCTTCTCCTAATGAGGAAATTATTATCTGTGTTAGGGAATGTGGAACCCAGCAGGTGCACAGCATTAAGTAATGAAAAAACCAGCTCTGCTGGTGCCAGAAACACGCTGGTGCAGTGCCAGGGGCGAGGGGGGCCCTCGGGTGGGCGCTGGGAGGAGGCTGCCTCTGTGTCCAGCCCTGCAGAGCTCGGGGGTGGAGTGGTTTGTGCCACTGGGCATTTTGGTTGGGGCTGCCAGGAGCGGGGCTCTGGCTCTGACGGGCACCACTGGGGGTTCTGTGCTCAGCCTGCCCTTGGGAGCTGCTCAGGGGGTGCCTTTGGCTGTTCCCCCTGTTTGAACAGGGGGGTCTGGCCCGAGTCCAGCTCAGGTCGTGCATCTCCAAACCACCGGGGTTCTGTGTCCATTGCTCCCACCAGGACTCGCTTTCTAATGCAGATTTTTAGTTCATTAGTGCAGTGATGCATTAAAAGGGATCTCAGTAGAAAGGCTAAGCTAAGGTAAAAAACACCAAATGATTCCTCCCCCCTCCCCCAAATTCTCTGATTCATTTTTGCCTTGACTTGGGCAGAGGGAAGGGCAGAATTCTGCAGAATTCAGTTTGCTGCCTGGGGAGTTCTGGAGCTGCAAGACTTGGGGATCCACCCCTGGAACAGCCCGAGAGGTGACTGAGTGACTGTCGTGTTTTGCTTCATTCCCGATGGAATTGGATGGGGATTTGTGGTAAGTTTACTCCTGAGTCAAACTGGAAAAGGCAAAGGAAAAAGGAGGACAAGATGTAAAGCAAAGCAACCTGTAGGGAAAACCAACACCCCCACTGAGCTGAAACTTCAGAGAGCAGAGCTAAAAGCAGGGTGATGGGCTCTTTCCTGGTGCTCTGACTGGGTGGGAATTGTCTGGGGCCATGGAGCCTGGAAACAGGAGGGTGAAATCACAGCCTCTGCCCTTGTGCCCAAAGGTTGTTCCCCTCTCCAAATGTCCCAGCTGCAGCCTCCCCCCAGCACTGCTCGGGTGCTTATTCCACCCTCATAATTAGTTCTGTGTAATTTACTATCAGTGTTGTAGTAGTGAGGATCTAAGGGTATGGGCTAATTAGGTTTATAGTGAAATTAGAGTATCCAGTGAACAGATTTAGAGACTGGATGGGCTTTAGGGCAACAGATTCTTCTTTGGGTCTGGAATAGGAACAAGAAGCTCTCAGCTAGATCCAGACTTGAAAACAATTCAGCTTCAATTTAATGTAATTATGGCAACAAATTAGAGAGTTTGGAGGGAAAAAGTAGTAAGTCCCTGTAAAATTAAGTCATGTAAACCTCATTTATTATTTCAAATTTGCAAGGTTTAGTTAGCATTACAACCATTACCTAATTTCACAGGGTTTGAGATAGATTTGTTGTTTTGCATTGGACAGGAAGTTAAAACTGTGTGTTGCCAGCTGTGATTGTACATGTCATGAGTTGTATTTGGGGCTTTGTTCAATCCTCTGTTGCCATTCAGTGTCATGCACTTGGATGTGAAAATGCCCAACCCGGTGATTTCTGTTCTGGGAACAGGATATTTGTGTCTGTGCCAGTTCTGAAGTGACACAACCACAGACATGCATTGCAAAATAAACGATTTGAAGCTGCAGTTGGATTAATTCTGGGGCTTTGAGGATTTGTTTCGGTTGTGTCTCTTGTCCCCCAGCCAAACCCTGCTCACCCCAGCGATGCTCTGGCACAGCCAGGTGCCTGCTCAGGTCACACCAGCCTTTCCCTCTCCCCCCTGCCCCTCTCTGAGGTTTCCCCTTGCAATCAGAGCCTGTTTCATCCCCATCCATCCCAGCTCTGCAGGGTGGCACCAGCCAGGCCAGGAGTCACTGTTCCACTGCCAGGGGAGATGGGAAAGCAGTGCTGGGAACAGCAAATGGAGCTCAGGAAACAATCCATCACCCTCCCAGCACTGAGAGCACCGTGGCAAATGTGCTGACTGCCCGCCTGGCCCTGCCTCTCCTCTTTGCCTGTCGCCTCAGTGTGTTCACAGACAGCAATAAAAGCAATATTTCAGGTTCAAACCCAATGGCTCTGACCCATTTCTCTGCATAGCAACACCAGCTTCCTGTCCCAGGAGGGGCATTTGGAAAAGCCTCAGAGACACTTAGCAACATTTTCTCTTGGAAGTTGATCTGGAGAACAGCTCTGGAGCCATTCCCTGTTGGCGGGCTCCGATATGTGTGTTTTAAATACTCAGCTGCTGTGTGAGTTTAGTATAAAACACGAGTATTCTATTTAATTAAACAGGCAGTTACAGAATATATACTGCTTGCAGAGTGCTCTGTGACTCCTCTGCATCTCCACAGGTCACCAGGGTGCTGCTGCCTCCTCCTTGCTGAGTGATGGACCTTGAGGGTGGTGCTGGTCCCCAGGGAGAGTCCCTCCCCTCTGCTGCTGAGAAGGACCCAGGACTTATTAAGTCATTTGGCCTCTTGGGAAGAGTTATTCCTGTGACAGAGTGGAGATGACACAGCTCTGCCTGTGCCACTGCCGAGCCTCACAGTGCCATCCCTGTCAGACAGACAGACAGCCTGGAAAGCCTGGGTCTCCTCCCCTCAAACTTCACCTCATTATTCTGGGCCAGGTAAGTCCTCCCACCATTTTAATTGGACTTTCATGGTTTTTCACTGGCTGACTTTCCTTTCAGAGAGCAGCAAAGGCCACAAATGGGGATCTGCAGGTCAGGTGGCTTCATTGTGAAAGACACCGTGGAAATTCAGTGTATTGTTGCTGGTGCTGTCACAGAGGCAACACAGGGGCTGGAGGTCACAGTCCCTGAAACTTTGGCCCAGGCTGGCACTGGGCAGGGTGGCAGTGACCCAGCTGGGCTTACAGGGGTGGCTCTTTGCCTGAACTGCAGCAGAACTGTTGAACTCACTGCTTTCCTTCAGGATGCAGATTCACTGCTCTGGCTTCTCCTCTGGAAACGTACCCAGCGTGTCCCTGGCTACTCCAATCCCATTTGATAATCAGCAAGGCAGAAATAGTGCTTTCATGCTTCCTACATATTAGCTTGAGTGACTTGTGTAAAGAAAATATTGGCCAGAGAACGAATCCAGAGTGCAAAATGTGCTGGTTTTTACGTGCTGTTTGTGCTAGTGTTTACCCATGCCTCGACCAAAAATAGCAGCCTTTGGAGATATTTAGTATTTTCCTCCTCATCAGCCCATAACATCCCTGTTGCTGTTGTCTGGCAGAGCCTGTCTGAGCTGCAGAGCCTGTTCTGCCACCCTTGGCAGCTCCTTTTCCTCTTGGCAGGTGTGAGCTGGCTCAGTGCTGCTGCTCCTGCTCGTGTCCTCTGCAGAGCCTTCCTTGGTCCTCCTCCTCCTCCTGGGGCCTGGGGAGGGTGCTGGGCTGAAGGGGAGGGTGTGGGGTGAAGGGGATGGTGCTGGGCTGAAGAGGAGGGTGCTGAAGTGAAGGGGAGGGTGTGGGGTGAATGTCTCCCTGCTGCCTCAGCACCCCCATGGCTCTTGCCTTGGGGTCCAGGTTTCCCTGAGTGTTCCCTCCTTTGGTGTCAGTGAAGTCATGGAATAGAATTCCAGGGAGAGTTCCCTAAAATAGTGAGTTCAGTTCTTTCCAGCCCAGGGTTTTCACCCTTCCATCTCAGAATTTCATCCCTGAGCTCTGCCATAACCTGTGGTTCTCGTTTTGCCTCTGGTGGCAGTGTGACCTCATTTTGAAAGGTCTGAATAACTTGCATTTGGCCCCTGGATATGACACAGAATCTGACTCCTTCCCTCTTTTTTATACCCATGGCAATAATTATTCTTCCTCTCCAAACACAGCATTTTCCTCTTTATGAGGGTTTCTTCTCCTTCTCATTTCCATTCTGGAAGTGCTGGTTTCTGTTCTACTTTTAATGGAAAGGCTGGAGGGCAAATGCAATTAAACCACAGTGTATGAACTGTAACTTGTAATAGTTTTTTTTAAAAAAAACCCCAAACCAGCTTGTCACTCACAGAGGACTGGCTTTCTAACCTGGGCTCCATCACGAGTCCAAGTTTCAGCTCTTGTGATCAGAGTAAATGAGACCAGATCACAGAGGATTTGTAGGGTGCTCCTCCCTGGGGCTGCCAGTCCCCTCCTGTGCAGCCCCTGAGTGCTCATGCCAGGGATGAGGAGGCAGCTGGGGAGGATGGAGGGACCTGCCATTATCTCTAATAGATAGGATCAATAATGGGAGATGTATCATCCTTCTTCATTTCCTCATTGTGCTGGAATTGATGCCCTGCCTGGCGCAGGGGCTGCTGCTGAGGGCTGAGCTCACCCCTTATCACTCACCTCCCCCTGATTTACACCAGTGTTACATCTCTGCCATGTAAAAAATGGGCTGATCACATCTTGGGCTCAGTAACCTCAGAGCTCCGAAATTATTCCATAAGAGCATCTCCTGCCTGGGTGATTTATCCCCAAACTGCGCCGTGGTGACTCAGGAGGGTGGTTTCCCTGGAGAGGCATCTCTGGGCTGTGGAGAGGCACAAAACAGGGAGTCAAAGAAATCTCGTGCACCACTTGTCTTTCCTGCTGGTGCCTGGTGTGTGAGGATGTGCACTCCCAGTGGGTTTTGCTGCCGGTGGTTCCCAGAGGTGCCGTGGTGGCTGGTCCGATTCTGACACACTCAGGCAAAGTTAATTACCAATTCCATAAAACTTTTCACATCAAAGGTTTAAGAATTGTGCTCCTTTGATAAGGAGTCACTTGTAATACCTTGTTACTTCCCCGGCTCTAATTATGCTTATCAGTCCGTGCTGATAATTGGCGGCGTGTGCAAGGGGAGAGCTGCTGCAGTGCCCGGGGAACAGATGGAAACCTCTGGCTGCTGGGGCTGGAGGGACATCCCAGGGGCAGCACAGTGACCCCAGGTGAGGCACAGTCCAGGCCAGGCTGCCCCAGCACAGGGGGAATGTTCCCAGGGGTGGGTCACACTCCCACCCACAGCTCTTTAAATGCCAGTGCAACAGCAGGACAAGGGGGAATGGCTTCAGACTGAGAGAGAACAGGTTTAAATTGGATATTGGGAAAAAATCCTTCCCTGTGAGGGTGGTGAGGCCCTGGCACAGGTTACCCAGAGAAGCTGTGGCTGCCCCATCCCTGGAAGTGTCCCAGGCCAGGTTGGACGGGGCTTGGTCTGGTGGAAGGTGTCCCTGCCCCTGGCTGGGGTGGGACTGGATGAGTTTAAGGTCCCTTTGAACCCAAACCAATCTGGGATTCCATGACTAACAGAGCCAGCTAAGCTGGGAAAAGGTCCCTGCCCTGTCCCTGTTCTCCAGGAGTGTCTGGAGAGGGTCTGTGCCACAGCAGGGCTGCTTTGCTGCAGTGCAGGTGAGAGGCAGAATTGCAGGAAGGTAATAAACTGCCCCATTTACCAGCCGATTAAACAAGTATTTAAAGCCTGACTTGGCTGCCCAGGCAGCAGAAAACAAGGTACAAGGTAGCACAGGCTGGAACAACTGCTTGATGGCCATTCTGGCTGCAGCTATTTGAAAGTTGAGGTGCTGTTAATCACCAGAGTATGGTTTCATCTGCCTGGAATAGCTGCTTTTTGCAAGTTTTTCTGGTGTTTATTGGATGTCCCTGTTTACTTAAAGTTCACAGCATTTAAATAATATGTTTGAGCAGGTTAAAAATAGCACGAGATGCTGCCTCTCTCCAGGCTGTGGGAAAGACTCCAGTTAACAGGAAAATCTCCCTGTCCACCCTGCCAGTGCCAGACTCTCCTCTTGCTGTAGTTCATGCCAGTTCGTTTTTTTTTAATTGGCAGCTTATTGAAATCAAAATATTGTGTTTGCATATGTTGTCACTCCCATTTAAGCAGCTCACCTCTCAGAATTCTGCCAGTTCTCCATGGGGCGAGCGCTGGGATCAGATCTGGGGTCCCTGGGAAAAGGAGTTGTGTGTTGTCTCGTGCCCTGCAGGAGCAACTGGGAACTAAATTCATTTATTCCTGAATAAAGGCCTTTTCTGATGGAGCTGGTGGTCTGGAGAGGGAAGTGCTGCTGACCCAGTGCAGGGAGCCCATCTCTGAGCCAGTTCAGTCTTGTTAATGTGTTTCTTCCCTCATAATGAGCCTTTCCTGTCGTGACTCGTGGCAGATACATTATCCCCTGTGGGGCTGTGGGCTGGAATTGGTGTTTTCCTGCTGGCAATGGGGCTTTGCTGGAGTGGGATCTGTGGGGGGGAGTCTCCCTGGGATCAGAAGCTGCCAGAGCTCAGCTGCAGCCACCCGGGAAAAGGGCTTGGAGGGAGGGATGTGCTGGAAAGCAACTCACCCTGTCAGGTTTGGAGTCAAACAGAATAAAACTGATAGCTTTTAAAAATTCATGGTGGTGTTAATGCACTCAGTCGAGTGTAATTAAATGTAGAGACTCAACAGATTCATATAAACACTCTGTGGGAGCCTGTCAATCTTCCAGGGTAATGAACCCCCAAACAAATGTACAAATCTCTAATATCTCTGGCAGAGCTGAGGCTGTGGAGCAGCACCCGAGGATCTCTCTGTGTATTCCCAGGGGGACACATCCCCTGTTAGTCTGGAGGAACAATTCCTCACACAGGCTGTGCACACCTTTGTGCTGCAGTGCAGACCCACGAATCTGGGGCTGTGAAAAGCAGGATTTAGTGCTCAGGGCATGTCCTGGGCTTTGAGTGCCAGCAGATGGAGATGCTGTGCCTGGCACTCAGCTGCACTCACCAGGAATTCCTCCTGCCCCTGCCTTGTCCTTCAGGAGCTGCTGGAGCTGCTTTGCTGTGCCTGGACCCCTCTGCTCTGGTCTGGACAGAAAACAGTTGTGCCATATTTAAAATGTGGGGGAAAAAAGAACCATAAAGTGTGTGTGGAAGGTGCTGTGTGCACAGCTGAGTGATGGATGGATGGCTGATGAAGGAGAACATCTCCACAGGAGGGGTTTTCTCCTACAAATCATCCCCAGTAAGTTTTGGAAGTCAGGTGTGTGCAGAGGGCACTGAAACCCAGAGGAACCCCCCTGGGACCTGGCCAGCTCCTGTGCCATGGTGAGGGTCGGGCAGGGGTGGGTTTCTGGCAGCTCAGGGGCAGGACAGTGCCCTGTGCCCCCACGTCTCTGTGCCTGACGAGGGCTGCAGTGCCTCCTCTGGCTCCTGCACATTAACCAGGGCACTTCTGGAGATGCTTCTCCTAAATTTCTTCTTGGGAACTCTTCTACTGTCATCAGCAGAATTGGGAAAATCACCTAAAGCAGAGTGAGAAAGGGAGGATCAGCCAGTGCTGAGCTAATATTTTTCCCATTTGTGTTTTTTTTCCTCTTTCCTTTTCTCAGTTCTCACCTCCTCACAACAGTTGTTGCACACCACTGTAAACTTCATTTAATCCTTTGTGAAGTTAAAGTAAATACGCCTGAAAGACAAAATACACGCTGTACTTGATGTAAGACTAATGACACGTCCCCCAATTATGTTGGGCGGTGATAGAGCTCTAATCAAATTTGGAGAGCAGCTGTGCTGCTGACAGGGATGCAGTGGATTAGAATTGATGCTGCCTCTCGTTCATCCCGCTGGCCCTGGCAGGGCTGTGCTCACCCAGCCCTGGCACAGCTCCTGCACATCCCAGCAGCAGAGTGGGACAGTGCCAGAGCCCGCTCTGCCCCTCGCCTTGGCACTGCCCCACGGCTGCCCCTCTGCCCCAGAGCTGCTCCTGCCTGGGTCCTGCACACCCCTGAACGTGGAGGGAGGTGAGATGGAGCTCCCAGGCACCTTCTCCCTGCTGGGGCTGCCACGCCCTGCTGAGCCATCACCTCCCATCCCCATTCCCAACAGCTCCAGGGGAGCTGGGAGCTTCTTCTGTTGGGCTTCCAAACCAGCCAAGCACCTGAGATGCTTCTGTTTTTATTTTTATTTTTTTAGCTTTAGCCCAGGCGGGTGTTGGAGCAGAGGACTCGTTTCAGCTGTCAGTTTGCTCAAGGAAAAAGCAGCTCTTTGCCTCCCCGCTGTCCCGGCTGCAGCAGGAGGTGTCCTCAGCAGCAGGGAAGGAACCTGGTGGTTCAATAACCCCAGAACCTTCTGTGGTGCTCTTGGGTTTTCACAGTCAGTGTAATAGTGGTGTTCAAAATAATTGCTGTAGAGAGAAAAAGTGCCTTATCACAGGGAGCAGCATGTGGACAATGGGAGCGTTTCAGAGCGTATTTTTAGGACAGGGGGAAAAAAAATCAATCTAAATCTTGTGCTTTTTTATCATATGCCTTGAGCAGTGAAAGGGGGGGGGAAAGGGATCAGCATTTTTGCTGGTTGGATGAGGCTGTGAGCAGCCTGGGCTGCTGGAAGGTCCCTGGGGACAGCGGGGTCGGGGCAGCAGATTCACCATCAGGTGCCTCAATGCACCACGTTGGTTCTGCCTCTCCTTGGTGCCCCTCTGGGAAAGTCAAACGTTTATGTGTAACCTAAAAGAAAAGCTGTTCTGCCGGTGTGAGCTATTGGGTAATAAAACAGGGAAAGGCACTGCAGTCAATAAAAGTAAATTAATAACTAGAGACAACAATCCTTGCTTCCCTGACTGGCATAAAGCAATCCTGTGCTGAAAGAAGGAAGAATGGCACAGTTTATGAGGAGGCAGGTCGAGTCCAGGAGGAATGGGCCACGGAATTTTGTGGGATATTTGTGATCACAATGTTTTCTCCCTAAACCTTTCGTGGTTTATTTGTGCTGTGCTGCAGGCAGGGCTGTGGAGCAGCATCCTGCTGAGACAGGACACGCCAGCACGAGGGAAATGGGTTTTGAAGGGTCAATCCAAGCTTTGGGAGGCAGCCCCAGGACTGTGCAGCCCGGGGAGCCCCTGGTGCTCCCCATTCTGAGCCCTGGTGTCTCACAGCACCCGAGGAACTGCCCCAGGAACTGCCCCAGGAGCTGCTCTGGGGCTGCTCGGGCGATGCCGACGGTGCCCGTGGTGCCCTCGTGGTGCCCTCGTGGTGCCTGCCCAGCGCTGGGATCTGTGCCTGGACCTGCCCTTGGCTCCAGACGAATCCCTGGCACAAGTCAAGCAGCCCCGTGGTGCCAAGGGGAGCCAAAGCCCCTCGGTGTGGTGGGTGCCACCCACCCACAGCCGGCTCAGGGCTGCCCACACCTGCCCTGGCAGTTGTGCTGCTCATGCAGCACGAATTAGGAGGCTTAATTATTTCAATAGAGGTTAATTACATTAGTCACTACAGCAAATCTCCAGTTCATGCCACGCTTTCCACTTCATTTAATTCATTACCCCCTGTGACAGTGGATTCCTGCACAGAGCTGCTCGTTTGTGTCCCCTGTCCCTTCCAAGAGCAATCCTGCACCTCGGCCCTTTGCTTGCTGTTGCTCCTGTTCCTTCCAGTGTTCTGGTGGCAGTGGCAGAGGGGTTTTGTGGGAGCAGCCTCAGCCATGCTCTGCCCTGGGTGAAGGAGGTGGGCAGAGGGCTCTTGCCAGGGGGGACAGGCTGTGCACCCCAAACCGTGTGTGTCCTGTGCTGGAGCTGAGCAGAGGGTGACTCTGGACGGTGTTCACTGTCCCCTTCCCTATCTGCATTCTTGCTCAATACCTGGATTTACAGATATGTGTCCTCTCCTGGGTGCTGTGCCCTGCTGGTCTTTGCCATGAGCCCGCTCTGTCCTGCCTCCCCTGTGCACAGGACAGTCCAGATGGGAAAAAATCAGCCAGTTGTGCACCCAACCCCTTGCAATGATTCCAAAAGAGCCATTCCTCATGGTTTAATGTGTTTCTGTAAATGGCAGAGTAAAGCTCTTGGATGGCATTTAATTAGTTTTACCGTGCCTTCCCTGCCCGGCAGAGATGCACCGTAATAGCTGAAGGATTCATGCAAAGGCTGCTTCAGTAATCAGAAATTCAAATGCCAAACAAGACAGAGCAAGAAAGCTCTGAAAATAAGCACAGAATTTTTTTTTAAATTGCCCAGGTGAGTCTCAGTGCTGCAGGCACAGGGTGCTGCTCTTGGAAGTAAATTGGGGAATCACTAGCTCTGAGCCGGCTGATGCTGGATCCCAGTTAATCCTCTGGAGCCGTGGTGCTGTTGGGAAGGGCATTGGCTGGGCTGTTCCAAAGCCAATCCCAAATCCAGGTGAACTCAGTGCACACTGTCATTTGTTGAGCATTTGCCACACCCTGGGCTGAGCCCAGAGCCTGGTGTGTGCCCACGGTCACGGTGCCCAGGGCAAACCCGTGTGGGCTGCACAGGAAGGACCTTCACCCATCCAGGGCTTTCCAGGGCTGCCAAAGCCTGGGGAACAGGAGCTCTGTGCCACCACCTGGCTCCATCTTTCCTCGTCATATTTTGTTTTTAAACTTAGTTCGTTCCTTTCTCGCTGCCCCCGGGTGGGTGTTGGTTTGTCCCCAAGGCTCCTCCAGCCCCCAGCACCCACCACGGGGGGACATTTCTGCAGCCCTGGAGCCCCAGAGCCCAAACTGCAGCTGCTGACATGTGCAAGGGGGAGGTGAGACATTCCCCACCTGTTCAGCTATTCTGTAGCCTGGTGGGATATCTCCTATTTTTAACCGTAGCTGCATTAAAGGGAATAAACTTGTGAAGGCAAACATAAGGTAACAACCGAAGGAATTAGTTTTTTAGATGCAGATCTGTCTGTTTTAGTACATGGTGAACATTTTCTTTAGCATAATGATACTTCTTAGGGTGCATGATAAAAACCTGCAGTGATGAACAGACTCAATTCTCAGTTTTCACTCCCATCATTGGCTGTCATCAGCATTTTGCTGTCGTTAACCTGTGCAGGATAAACTGCTTATAAAATAGATATTCCTTTGCTGGGCACCAGCAGGTCTGGTTGTGGGGAGGGATGTGGAATTCTGTCTGCAGTTTTGCATCATGAACATGAGCCATGTGTGGCTTTGAGACTGGAGGTCAGGCCAGTGTAAACCCGGGAAACATTTCCAGATTTTAATCTGAATTGGGACTTAAGGATTTAAGGATGTTTGAACACCCAGCCAGTGTTCACTTCTGCTGGGGAACCATCAGGGTGGAGGGACCTTCCACGGGGGTGGGAGTGGCTCAGGCTGCTGCAGGGAAGGCTCTGCCCTCTCTCCTCTCTCCTTCCTGACATTTCAGCACCTCTCCTCTGGCTTTGGGAGATGCTGCCTGTGCCCTTCTGTCCCCTTGGCCACTGGCATCCTGCAGAGCCAGAGCCTGGCCGGGGTGCTGGGATGTGCCAGCCTTGGCTGGGAGCTCTGCAGGGGCACACGGGGTGGCCTCAGCTGCCAGAAAATCAGACTCATTTATTTGGGAATCCGTGGTACACAAAGCACTTTAATAACCACATTCATCTAAAGGGCACATCAGGAGAAACAGTACTGCCTGTTCCCTCCTGGATGCCAGTTAGTGGGGAATGCTGTTGTTAACATTTAGCAGGAGCTCCAGGTCACCTTGATACGATGGAGCTAACACACATTTTAATGGCTGTTTAATTAGATTTACCATAGGGAAGATGCCATGGAAGAAAGCTGCATTTCCACTTCCAGCACTTGGGTTGGTGGCTGGATTCAATAAAAATGCAGATAAAAAAATGCAAGTGATAGACAAAGACGAGGGGGTTTTTACCCGTGTTCAATATAATTTTCCAACCTGGTCTGGGTGCTGTGGCTGCTCTTGCAGGGCTGGGAGCTCTCACACCCAGGCAGGATGATGCTCTTTTCTGCCTGCCACAAAGTGCAGCTGCTCCTCAACAGCTCATTTGCTTTTAGGTGACCTGAGCTTCGAGCACCTCCCTGTGAGGCTCCCACCAAACCATTCCTCAGAAGCTGCCCCTGTGCCATCAGCAGGATTGGAGCAGAAGGGAAGGAATCCATCAGTTTTCCAGCATCAGCATCCGAATGTTGTGGCAAACTGGTCCCTGCATCAGAGAGCAAACAGCTCCTGCCCACGTCCCATCAATTCTGATTCCTGCACGAGGCTGGGGGGGCCCTGAGGAGCATTTTGTGAAGCAGCCAGCTGCTCCCTCCCAGGAAATAAAGCATTGAAACATATTGCTATAAAGGATATGACACCTCTCCTGATGGATTTATTAAGAAGACCCCAAGAGTGAAGAGTTATAAAACCTGATCCAGTCGGCAGTTCCAGCTGTGTAATTGATATCCATTATTTCCCATTGACTGCTCTGCAGGAACTTTGCTTTCTGTAGCATCAACAGATTCTGCCTCTGAGCTGCTGGGGCTTGGCAGAGAGCAAAGTCGATAGCAAGCCCAGAGAGAGTCCCAGGAGACAGCTGAGTTGGTTTTCCTCAATTTCTGCCCATAAATACACACCTTTATCCTAATTTATACTGTTTTTCGAGTCACTCCATTTTCACAGGGCAGCACAAATCTGCTGTGGCTTTGCTGAGGCAGAGGCTGGGTGCCAGTTTGGTTTCCCCAATGACACAATTTCTCCTTATCTGCTTCATTTTGTGGCAATTTTATATGGTTTACTGAAATAGGGTTATTATAGTAATGAATTTACTGAAAACAACAGGCAGAAAAAGGCTGTCCCCACAGATGCAGGGTGTCCTGGGGACTGACCTCTGCTCCTGGGTGCTGCACAATCCCTGAGGGGGCTGAACCCAAGGAAGGGGCTCACACCAACCCCCTGCCCCTGTCCCTGCCCAGGACAGCATTAGGCAAACCCATCATTTCTCCCTCTTATTACTCAGAGCTTTTCTGTGCCATTGACCTCCTGCCCCTTTCTCCTGCAAATCATTTGCTTTTCCAGATGCTTCAGTATTAACTTGTACCATTTTCTCTCCTTTTTTCCTTTTTTTTTCCTCTCCTTATCTCACCTCAGGAAGAAGAGGGATTACCTCATTTCCACCACCTCTGAAATAAATCCTCATTATGGATTTGCACCTGGGGAGGAAGGAGCTGATTTCCACTCCCAGCCAGTTCTGAGCAGACATTTGAAGGTAATTGTGCAGCCCAGTCATCTCACTTGCCCAATGACCATAAAGAGCACTTTTATTAGCACCAGGCCTGGGGCTGGGGCTATTGAGAAGATATTTATGGGGAAGATATTATTTCAGAAAACTAGAACGTGGACATCAAATGTATGTTTTATTCCGAGGTGGAGCAAAGGGAAGGACCCAACATCCAACAGGGGTCTGAGTGCTGGTGGGGGGCTCTGGGGTGGCTGCACTGTGGTGCCTCCTCACAGCACTCACTGGGTTGCCTCAGATTTGCCAAAAACCATCATCTGAGGTGGCTGAACCCAGCAGGGCTGAGCAGCTTTTCCCTCATGCTCCAGTTGTGAAAGCTCTGATGTGGGCTAGCAGACATTAATGGTGTTTTTATTGAGGATCTTGTGCTCTCAGTTCTGCCTCCCTGAACAGGCTGGAACACGAGGCTGGAATGCTGGTGTGATGAGGCCCTTTTTTCTTGGCTAATTGCTGCAGGATGAAGTATGGGCCAGAATAAAATGTGGTCATCTGCTGAAGGGCTGCTGTGCTGTCAGGCTGTTTGCTGCAGCCCAGGATACACTGACTGTGGCAGCTTTTGGATGCTCCAGCTCAGGGCAGAGCTGGGCAGTGATTTCTCTGGGCTTGGACAGGCCCAGTTCTGAGCTTCTCCCACGGAGCCAGCAGTGATGGACTGGACAAAAATAACCAAACAGCCCAGGAGAGCTTTCTGGAGGAGCAGTGGCTCAGTCCAGTGCTGCAGGTTTGCACTGAGATGCTCCCAGACAAGCAGAGGTGTGAGACAGACGTCCCCATTCTGCAGCTCTGGGGCACTGGGACTCCTCTGCCTTTGTGTCTGTGCCCTGTGCTGCTCTGCTGCAGCTTTGGAGGTGGCAGGGACCCCTCAGGCACCAGCTCAGCATCCAGCTGCTGGTGAAATTTTGATGAAAAGTCCTTAATTATTGATGAAGAATAACATCTCTGTTGCACAGCTCATCTCGGGGGGAGCACAGTCATTTAGTGCTCGATGCTCCAGGGCTGTGGGGGGCTGACACACCACGAGCTTCCCCCCAAACCTCTGATCCCACCGGTGGGAGAGGATGGGAGGATTTCTTTGGGCAGGTCCTGATCCCAGTGAAATGGAGAAAATGTGAGTCAGACTAAAGTGCCAAACCAAAACACAGCAGAGGAGCCTTCCAGAGGCTTCCAGGGAGCATCCAGAGGTGCTTCCAGAGGATCCTGGCAGCACACAGCAGCCTGGAGCCCCAGGAAGCACAGGGAAGAGCATTCCATGGTTGGTGCCCTCACTCCAGAGCTCCTGGGCTCCATCCAGCCCGTGTGTGCCTGGGGCTGTGCTCCAGCCCTGAGCCTCTGCCTCGGGTAAGTCCGTGGGCTATCTCACAGCAGCCAGGAAAGGGAACAGAGAGAAGCAGTTATCTTTAGTGCCTTTAATTCCCTTGGCTTTTTTTAGAGGTCCAGAAATGGAAAACCAGCCATAAAGCACTGCAGCTGTGCCACAGAGCCCGTGCCATGGTGGTGGCACTGGGGATGTGGCCTCGGGCTCTTCAAAGCCTCTGCAGCTGCCTCTGGACCTGAACTGCTGTGACTTCGTGTTGTCCAAGGTCTGTGTAACTTCATCATTTTCTGATAGCCCCTGCATAACAAGAGCACTAGAAAGCTGTACAGGTGGATGTTTTAAAGTTAAACTGATTCCCAGCCATGGTTTCCTTCCCCTGGAGCAGTTTTAGTTGTAAAGAAGATGATAGATTGAGTTATGTTTGACTGACAGATTTAAACTGGGGCTTCTTTCTGCAGCCTCCACATCCACGCTCTAAATTGGAGGCTTGGGATTAGAGCCACTAAATTACTCAGTTTATTGAAAAAATAAAATATCAGGAACAGATGAAGAGAGAGAAATGCAAATTGAATGAGTGTTAAAAAATGATTAAGGTAAGGCAGCAAATGAAATAGAATGGCACTAAAACTGGGTGACACGTGAGAAATTCTCTCCAAGTGGCAGCACTGGGGAACTGGGCTTGAAACATGGAGCTGTGGAGCTTCAGACAGGTGAGCTTGACATTGCCAGGAGCTGCTCTCTGCACCCTCTGCCCCTGGGGGTGGGAGAGGGATGGAAAAGGGCAGGTCATGGATGGAGTTGACCCTCCTGGGGTTTACAGGGGGGCTGTTACTGGCCCCGGTCCTGTCTGCAAGTGTGGAAGTTCCCATGGCTCCCCCAAATCCGAGCAGAGGTGGATTTCTGTCTGCTGGCTTTGGGTAGTTTCTTGTAACCTCTCTGAGTCTTTACACATTTGCTGTCTCCTCCCAGTAATTACATAGGAGACCATGGAGAGAGATCAAATCCTGCCACCCCCCTTGGATCCTGGAAACGGCCCCTTAAGGCCCCCTCGAGCCTCGTTAGAGGGAACAAATCCAAGTGCTGCACCAGAGGCTTGCAGGTAAAGCTGTGCCCCTGAGGACCTGCCTTTTCTAGACAGCCCCGTGGATGGGGAGTGAAACATTTCCAGGAGATTCGATTCCATCTGGGCCCGGGGAAATTCCGCAGCTCCATCACCAATCCATCACCACTGGCTCAGGGAGGAGCCACAAATTCATCATCAGCTGCTTCTGGAGCAGCTGTGGGGATGGCAGGAGGAGCAGCAGTGCAGGCTGCCCTTCCTTGCACGTGGAGAAGAGCCAAAATTGGGGCAAGGGAGCAGCTTTGAGCCTCTCCTTCCCCTCCTGCCCTGCTCTCCCAGCAGCTCTGCTCCCTGGGCCTGTGCAGCTGGGCTGGCTGGCAGCAGTTATTGCTGGTTCCTTCACAGCCTTTGCTTTAGACCCCTCATGATGGTGGCTGTGACACCCCTGGAGCAGCAGTGAGTGTCCACTCAGGTGCTGTTGGCACATCCATGCTGACACTGCAGCCTGGCCCAGGGAATGTCACTGTTCTCAAGAGCAAAACGCCTTCAGGGGCTTGTGCTCTGTCCCAGGGTGATGCTGCCCAGAGACACAACCTCCTCCTTCCTCCTCCTGCTCCTCCTCCTCCTCTCTGCAGGGCCAGCTCCTGGCATCACTCCCAGCCAGGAGGGGCTGGATCTCTGCAAGGTGCCAGGTTGGCATCCCCAGGGAAGAGGCAGACGTTGCTGGATGACAGGATGGAGATCCAGCCTCTGGTTTAATGACATCACAGCACAAAGGGGAGAGTTTGGGAAAATGGTGTAAGAGAACATATTCCCTCACATTAAATCACCACTCTGGGTCCTGTCACCATTGGCAGCCTGAGGGATATTTTGCAGAGATGTTAAAACACATTGTAAATTAGGAAAACAAGAGAGAAACCAAACCAAAACACCATATTGTGTAAGATCACTTCTCTTGATACCAGAAAAGCTTTTCAGAACAAACCAGCCCGTTCATGTTTACCTTTGTTTGTTTTTTTTTTTGTTTGAAGAAATTATTTCTGTTTTTCAATAAAAATAGCTGCTGCCATTGATGTCCCTTTGCAGCCTCGCCTCGCTGCCTGCAGAGGTCAGCAGTGCTGGAGTCCCTGTGGGATGTGGGCAGCCCTGCTCCTTCCCAGGCCAGGAAAAGAAGAGGAACACTTCGTGATCCTTAAACTTGTTAAATTTAAAACTTGAAAAGGCACCTTCACACCTTCAATCGTTTTTGCTGCTTCTAATGCAACTGGTCTAAGCTTTCCCAGAAGACCCAGAGGGAAACCAGGAAGGATCAGATGTGACGTTCTGGACCTGGCGTGTGAAAAGCAACTGGGGAAAAAATGGAATAAAGTGAAGTACAGGGAGACTTGTGGCTGAGGCAAATTGTGAAATTAAAGGAAACAGGGTGAGGACACAATTAAAAGCGGCGCCTCTGAACTGGAACTGCTTTGCCGTGAATTGGACGTGCCCAAACCTGGTCATGGTTGAGCAGAGCTGTTCCACTCAGCGCCGGATTAACTCATCAGCAGAGTGCCCAGAACCTGATTTAATTTGAAAGACTACAAAATTATATTTCTCTGCCGATTTTCCAGGTGGCAGGATTAGAGGCAGAGCTTTTAGTTTTCCGCTACTTCCTTTTAACCTAATTTGACAGAAATGGCTCTCGGAACAAGGCGGAATTTGCTGGGTGCTGCATCAGGGATAAAGGGAACATCAGAGGAACGGCAGAGCGCAGTGGGGGGAGATTGTTTCCCTCCCTCTGGAACATGCTGGGCTTGATAAACTACAAAGGCTGAGTTTTCTGGAAGTGCATAAACCAGGGAGACTCGCAGCTCTCATGGAATGTTCACCGCTCCACCAGAGCAGCCCCTCTTTGTGGGGAGAATGAGGAACACCAAGAGTTGTGGCAGGACTTGGCACATGAGGTGTGTGAGGAGACAGAGGGATTTTGGCGTGGCTGGCACGGGCATGGCCACGGGCACGGCGGCTGCAGGGGAAGGAAGGGTGGTGGCCAAGGGACAGTGTGGCCACAGGGACCGGGAGCTGCCCTTCCTCCCGGCCCTGCTGATTAAGGAGCTCCTTTTCTTGGCAGTTAGAGCTGGAATTAAAATATTGCTGGGAGAGAGAGACCCAGGGGCAGGCGAACAGCTTGTTCCCAGCTGGCTCAGCACTTTCCTGTTTGCAATTCCACCTACCAGAGCTCAAAAAAGGCTCCCTGAAGGCGGCCGGGTGCCAGGCTGGCAGCCCCGACAGCCCCCAGGACCTGGCATGCCCCGGTGCCCCTCAGCTGCACCAGCACTCAGGGGGTATCTCTGCTCCTCCTGGAACATATCCAGCCTCAGCAGTGCTGGAACAGAGGTGGAGGCAGGAGAAGGGGGTGCCCAGGCTGGCTTGGGAGCTGTTTTTTGGCTGCTGATGCTGCTGGGTGCTCGTGGGGGTCCTGGAGGCTTCCAGGGCTCTGTCCCCTCTTCTAAGGAAGGAAGGGGATTTTCAATGTGACCTCCAAGCTGCAGGAGCTGGGGCAGGGTCTGCCCTGGAGGGGCACCAGCTGGATGGTTTAAAGGCCGAGCTACTTGACTGCCCTTGTTTTTTCCCTCTCCCATGTCCTGCACTCCTCTGATTCCTGGAGTGATGAGGCTCCTCTTTGCCCTGGTAGAAGGGACAGACCCTGGTTAATGACCCCCATGCCCGACTCCCACTGCCTTTCTCCTGGTCATTCTGCCAGGCTCCAGTGGAATGGTTTGCCTGGGAAATGGTCTGTGACTCCACAGGCAGTGTGCTGGGGAGAGGCAGGTTCCTAATGACTCCTCAAACTGAGATTTTTATCCCTGTAAATGCAACCGGGTCTCAGTGTCCCTGATTAGCTTCTTGTGACGAATTCCATCTGCCTGCCTGGGAACAACAAGGACCTAAAAAACCTGAGCACCAGCCATGCAGGCGGCTGCTCCCGTGCTGGGCTTTGTCATCACAGGAAATCACTTAAAAAAACAGGAAACTCTTCCTTGTTCCACTCCATTTCTTGGGACAATTTGCCCGAAATGTCACCTTCACAGACGAAGGAATGGGATTTATCACAATCAAGGCTTTGACATGTGAATCGAGGATGCTTTTAATTGTGAATCTGCCCAGGGTTTTGTTGGTGCAGTGTGAGTCCCTTGCATTTTATAACACTCCCAAACACACACGTTTTTGGGCAGTGCTGGTGTGGTTTTGCTGCCCTGGGCAGCGTGGGCTGCCAAGGCCAACAGAGCACATTGATGGCACGTGGCTCATTGTTGGAATGCTCCAGGCATTCCTCAGGAATGCAGGGAGACAACCCTTGTGCCGGGCTATTGAGTGACTGAGCGGTTTCTTGCACATTTTGAGGCATTTTGTGTATTGTGACTGTAACACAATACACAAAACATCCCACCTGCGTCACTGCCCTCGTCATTTCTGGAGAGCATTTTTTGGCTGTTACGTGAGACAAAGAGGAGCTGAATCTGTAACAGGGGTTCTGTGACAGGGTTCTGTGACATCCAGATTCTGTGACAGGGTTCTGTGACAGGGTTCTGTGACACACGAGTTCTGTGACATCCAGATTCTGCGACTGGGGTTCTGTGACAGGGGTTCTATGACAGGGGTTCTGTGACAGAGATTCTGTGACAGGGTTCTGTGACAGGGTTCTGTGATATCCAGGTTCTGTGACAGGGTTCTGTGACAGGGTTCTGTGACAGGGGTTCTGTGACATCCAGATTCTGTGACGTGGGTTCTGTGACACATAATTTTTGTTGTGTCCTCAGCCCCTGGAGCTGCTTCAGCAAAGGGGGATTCTGGTGTGAAACACCCCACAAAAATGTGTTGTATTTGCTGTTGCCATAGCACATGTAGGAAACCTGGAACATGGGGTGAGTCACTGGGGTGAAGCATTTATCCCAAAACCCCTGTCCTGGAAACCTTTTGGCACGGATGAACTTTACAGACCCAATAGACCATTGTGGGAGTTACTGAGCCCTTATGCAAATCCAGGGGGAAATGGGAATTACTTTTCAAAGCAAGATTTGTCCCTAAATCCATGTTTAAGTCTCAAGGGAAGGCCAGACCCCCATGAAGTGATCTAGCAGAAGCTGTTCCCTCTGGGGGCTGGTTGTGGGACCTTTCCATGATCCAAGTTTGCTGCAGGGGTTTGGACACCGACACTGTTCACCTGCAAATCATTTCCTGCTTTAAATACTTCTCATTAAGGGGGAAATATTGAATTTGCTGGCTGTTTTGGTTGTGTTTGCAGCAGCTTGGGAAATAATTGAAGGAGAAAATGAGTGCAGTGTGAGCATGGGGGTCCCACAGGGCTCGAGCCACAGAGTCACCAGGGGTGGGTTCAAAGCTCCTGCCCAATCCTCCTGCTTTACTAAATAAAGGAAACATTATATAAATGGTGTTGAAATGTGGAATTGCTGGCTGGATGCTGCCATGGTCTGCAGCTCTCAGCACCTGGCTGATGTTTAACCTGGAATCCTGCTCAGGAGGATGGGATTTGCTGTCTGAGGGGTGTGTGAGGGTAAGGCCAGGCCAGGCCAGACTCTGTGGTGTTTTCCTCAGTTGGAGATAATTTGGCTTTGCTTGGTCAAAGCTCAGTCAGCAGCAGAGTAAGGACATTACCTTCCAAGAAGGTTTGGTTGGTTGGTGGAAGTAAGATGTTTCTGAGAAGTGCCTGCAACCACTCAAGGTGAAATTAAAAATTGGCATAAAGTGACAAGGGGCAGCATTTAGGACTCAATACCTGAACTAACCAAACCCTGAAGAAACAAGTACAAAATGGAATTCTTTTATTAGCTTTCCCCTGGCACTGACACCTGCAGACTGTGGGGGAAGACATCACACTGCAAAGGTAATTCCCATAGGATGGGACTTTGGGGAGTCAGGTTGTGTTTGAGCCCACCCTGGAGAAGGACCCAAACATGCTGACTGTGCTGCAGATTGCAGAGAATGGTGTTGCAACAGAGGTTAACATAATTAGAGAACTTGGAGTAGCATTTGATCTAAAATTAGGGAGATGAACCCGGGCTCCGTCCTTGGCAGGTCTGTGATGCAACCCAGCACTGGGAAGCTGCTAAAATATATTGGGACACTGCTTCAAGTGCCAGCACAGGTTGAATTTTAACATCTTATTAAAAAACAGGTCACATTATTCAAAATTAAAGGGTCTCAAAGTCACAGCAAAGCTGAATTTCACTCTGTGACAGTGACCTCAGGTCATCCCTGGGTTCTGTGAGGAGACTCTGAACTCTGCTCTGCCCTGGGACGGGGCAGGAGTGTGTGGATCTGGGCATCAGCTACAGGCAAAGAGCAAGAACTGCCCCCCTAAAGCCAGGAGGATCCTTCTCATCCCTTGCCAACGGGGACTGGCTCGGGCTGGAGGTGGAGGAAGGTGGAGGAAGGTGGAGGAAGGTGGAGGAAGGTGGAGGAAGGTGGAGGAAGGTGCAGGAAGGTGCAGGAAGGTTTTCCCCTCCTCGCTGCCGGGAGTTAATGGGGCTCTTCATTTCCCTCAATTACTGGGCACCCACCTGAGAAGCTGTAAAGAGTGGAACAGTAAATCTTACAGTCAAATATTAAATTATACCTAATTTATTTACTT